CGGTATAATACAACTCATGATACAGTTTTTATACGATGAAATAAAGTAAACAAAAATAGAGAAAGGGAAAGAGAGAGACTTGATGAAATTCGTATTTCGTGGAACAGAGAACGATTTGTTCGTTTAATAAATCGGCCGATTATCGCATGTTAACCGTCCAAGCTAGACGATAGGGATCGAAGAATGAAATAAAGGGTGAGGGGGTAGAAATACCAACTAGGACGATTAGCCGAACGGTCCAGTTTGCTCGTTGGTGAGAAGGGAACACTTTTTCATTTAATTAAAACCACTCTCCTTTCTCTCTCTCACTTTCACATACAACACACACACACACACACTCACAAGCCCTCTTTCTCTCTCTCTCTCTCTCTCTCTCTCTCTCTCTTTCTCTCTCTCTCTCTCTCTCTCTCTCTTTCTCTCTCTCTCTCAATTGTATATACCGTGGAAAAACGTTGGTATACGTATAACCTATGTATTTATATATTTAATAGTAACCGTGACCGTTCCCGTGCCTTAATTTAAACTAATTTACATTTCACATGTTCACACCCCGTGGGTGCCCGATGAAGAAGGTTACCGCATGCGAGTATGAGAATGAGAATGAGAATGAGAGAATGAGAGAGTGAGAGAGTAGTAGTAGTAGTAGTAGATGCTCTGGCTTAGCGGCGCCATTTATCTTGGTTGAATTTAATTTCACCTCGCCTAGAGAGTAAAGTGCCACTTATTCTTACGAACGCCACCAACGAACGGTCGAGTACCTTCCATGAAGCGTGGCTTGCGTTTCAGCTGTGTTGTCGCACGCGTTCCTTCTTTCCTTCCTTCCCTTCCTTCCCTTCGTTCCTTTGTACTTACATATACTCCTTTAAAATCCATACCTTAAAACCTCTTCCCCCCCACCCCACCCCACCCCCCTTTTCTTCTTACTCCATCCTTTTCCACCACTTAAAATGTGTTATGTTTTGTGACTTCTAAAACTGACTAAAGCCACAATCCTTTTTCCAATTTCATTTTCAACACACATTTTGTATCCTTTCTTCGTTATTTATTTCTACGGTTTTTCTTTCTCTTTTTTTTATTTGCGTTAACGCTAAAAGTTGAAGAAGATTCATGGCAAAAAAAAAAAAGAAACGTATCTTTTAAGGAAATAAAGATATATCATTTTGTTCTCTCTCTTTCTTTCTTTCTCTTTCTTTTGCTTTTTAATTTTCTTGATTTTCGTATGGAAAATAGGATAAATGAAAATAATGCAGGATACCTATTTTAATGAAATATACATTTCTTTTAACGTATCGAACGCGACAAAACACCTAACTTTGAAACACTATTTGATTATCATTTTAAATCGAGGCAAAACTTTATAATTCTTGGTTACAATTTGAGGTTACAAATTTTGATTAAAAACTTTCCTTGGAACAATTTGCATGAATAATTCTCATATTTACTTCTGAGAAAGAGAATCATGCTAAGGGAAACACCGGTCCTTCGATTTAATTTAATTTATACAATGGTTCCATTGTTTATGCAATACAACGAAACTCTTTAGAGAAACATTTTTTAATAAAAAAAAAAAAACAAAGCAAATCATCCAAATATATGTATATCATACAAATATATGATTAAATCAAATGATTCCATACCTATAACACCATCAGGTAACTAAACAATCTACTACATACAACTAACTACACGTATATATGAATAAAATAAATTTGAAAGATAGAATAAAAAAAAATGGAGGATGAAATGGGGGAGGAGAGTTGATTGGAACGAGAAATAAAAGAAAAAAAAAACAGGAAAAAAAAAAGAAAAAGGAAAAAGAACATAAAAAGAAAGAAACCATTTGCCGAATATAAATTTTCGTCGAGTCGAAATCGAGAGAATATAATAACAAAAGTATATAACTACTGTGATTCGTGCAGCCGTCACTGGCAGCTGCTTTACATAGCTGCCTTGCTAGCTCCATTACCTATTTTATTTTCCCACAAAACTGCCCCATTTTCCTAACTACCACACCAACTTCGCCACATATCCCCATTCCCTCTTCGTCCCTTCATCATTCACCCCTTCTACCTCGTCCATACTTGCGTACAATCTCTGCAATTCGCCACATTTCCCTGTTTATAGTTTACATCAGTGGTTCAGGTTTTATAGAGTGCTCCCAACTCCTCCTCCCCCCTTCCCCCCATTTCTCTCGATTAAAACGTACGTCGTTTACAAATTAGAAATCGTGTAATGAACGGAAACATAAACATTTTCTATCTTTCCTCGGTTTTACTCTCTGACATATCAAATTAAAGTTCTTCAAACTAAAAAGTTATAACAATAGTAATAATAATAGTAATAATAAAACGAGTTAAATTGCAATAGTTTTGAAAATATTTATTTGATGTTTTAGTGTTCAATTTTGTTTTTTCTATATTTACGACAACCGGCCGACAGATGAATGATCCAAATTGTCGAATAGCATCGAACGCCACCATTTTAACTAATATTTTTCACAAATATTCGTCCACCGGGAAAAGAAAGAGAGAGAAAGGAAATAAATAAAAAGAATTTATAAATCGATAACAATTTTTTATTTTTTACAGATGATAAATTATTTTCTTTCATTGGCAAAATATTAATAATAATAATAATAATAATAATAATAATAATAATAATAATAATAATAATAATAATAATAATTGTGTAGATAAGTTATATCAAGTGTACTTTTACAATAAATATTTAAAAACAGTATACTTATAAACAAAATTCAAGAAAAAATTCACAAAAATCAAAATAACTGTAACGTTAATGTCAGAAATGTTATCACAAGAATTAAAAAAGTAATATTTGGATATTAAGATAAAAATTGTTTGATTAGAATCAATCTATCTTTTGGAGGCGTAAAAATTGTGTAAAAAAATTCCATAAGATAATTCATTTAATTACCTTTTGTATCAGTATCTTAATGTTTTTAAAGAGTCATTTTTTTTTTTTTTTTTTACTTCTTACTATGTACGTATAATAGAAAAGCAGCACGTGCAAGAAACGATAAGCTCGAGCAACGCACATTGAACACCTGCCGTTAAGGGATTCGATCTACCGATTTCAATAATAGCATAAAATTTACATCTCTGGTTGGAAAAGCATGAAAAATGAATTACACGAATTCGAAGAGAATTTTCGAGTAAAAGTTGGATGCAATGAGGTTATATCGAAATCAGTTGCGCGAGAATACTCGAATCCACTCGAGCATACAATACACGCGTTATTTTATTGTATTTTCGACAAATTTTGATACAATTCAAAACTTACCAACTTTCCTATTGTTCTGTATATGATAAAATTCATACAAAACAATTTATCAACACAGATTCTAATGATTTTAACAATCACCGCCATTTCTATTAACTATTGGTACAAAAAATAAAGACATAAACACTTAATATATTTAAAAAAACAAAATAGAGAAAAAAAATAAGTAGACTCTACTTTGTACCGCGTAATACATTTTTTTATCTTTTTTATCTATACAAATTTAAATAATTGTATGATGATAATAACAATGACAGAAATGACGTGTAGATATTCGTTATCCATGACATTATCAAAATTTTGTTTGTCATTGGAAATACGTTTCGGTACATACCTATAACTTACACACAAAAATACAGAAAAGTTGTACGCCATCAAAAAAACATAAAGCATTGTGAAAATTGAATATGTCACTTTTCAAATCTTTACCTTTATCTTTTATCCTCCTTCATTTTGTCTACGGCAATATATTCTCGACGATTTTTGTCCTTCTAGAGGGAAAGAGAAAGAACGAGAGAATAAGAGAGGGATGAAAAAGAAAAAAGAAAATTGCATTTCGGAGAACAGCTAAGAAATAATATGTCCTACTTTGAATATGAATATTTCCGATGCACACAGACTTTGATCGTTATGAAAATTCAATTCTACATGTCAACGAAAATGTTTGTCCGGAAAATATATTCCCCTTTAGAATCGAAATATTTCTTCGTCTTTCTAATAATTTATCAAAATTAATTACATTTCTTTTCTATACAAAAATATAGTTATTTGTTTTATTTAACCAAGAAAGTTCGAGATAATCATTATAAATGAATAATACATAAAATGATTAATACGAATTATTTTATTATTTTATTTATTTTTCTTAACAGAATTTTTAGGATAAATTAAGCGATAATGATTGATACGAATTTCTATAGTTTTATAAAAGAACAACTAAAATCTATCGAAAAAACTAACATAATAAAGTCAAAAACCTTGGATTTCGAAAAACTGGTTTACGATTGTTACGCAATACGTGAACCAAAAATTTACTCTTGACAAACGGCAAGCCTATTTGTAATAAATATAATGCAAATTAATTTGTTTGATTTTTACTTAGTATTTTGTATTTTATATCATTATTAGATCACTTTTATATGAATAAATAATTGTGGAACAAATTATCCAATTTTTCATTATTATATTTCTTATAACGAAATATTCATTTTCTGATATACGAGGAACGAATTATGCTCACAAACCGAGGTTACACCATATTAACATTTTTACAATCTATAGTAATACATAATTACATTATCTTTAGAGAACAATAAACCCGTCACATGTATCAGTAACATATTAAAATCAGCAGATAGCAGCAGATAATTAGGCAATTATTCAGTCACGCTAATCGTTAACTTAAGATATTCAATATATCAGTTTAAAAGTATACACATGTATGTGCACGTAAAATAGTAATAATCCAAAATAATTATAATTATATCGCAATACTTAAATAATAAAATTTAATATCTAATCAAACTTTTCTTTTGTTCTATATATATATATATATATATATATATATATTAAGATAAGATTATGATGAAAAACGGATAGATTCTGTTCTTACAATTATAGAGATTGTGTGCATCGTTAAAGTAAAGACGATAATAGGCGTGTGTGCATGCGCATAAACGTCGACCATAGTACTACGTCATATTATACATAATGTTCCATTGGAAGCGCAGTACTCGCTCATGGCAATGTATCTAGTTTTACCGTGCCGCTGGGTCTCATTCTCTGGTTTCAAATTCGTCGACTTCTCTACGTAACATCCCATCTCAACTAGGATTGCACGACACACAGAGAGAGAGAGAGAGAGAGAGAGAAAGAGGTAAAACATAATGACGAATATGATCGATCGGCAAATTCCCATTTAGTATCAAATGCAAGAAATGAATAATTAATATTAATTTCTATTGAATTAATATACAACATTAGTCGAGATAGATTGATCAATTATTACTTTCCTGTTAAATGTTACAATGATTAATTATTAATATTTATTTAAAAAGAATCGCGCGATATATAGTTATCCCTAAGAATATTTAGATATTTGTGTTTATTTGATTTACTTTTAATTTTTCGGATCTATCTGTTCTTCTTCTTTTTTCTCTTTTAGATTGTTATAAAATAATATTTGTTTTTATTTGTGTGTATTTCTTTCAATATGTGTGTGACATCAAAGTAAAATTTTCGTTATAATAATGAACTTATGTAAACATGTTTTTAGAAGTATTTTTTTATTTAAAATATATAATTTTGTATAAAAAATATCTTTAAAAATACTCTCAAAATTATAATTGTACATTATTTTTATTAGTTTTTTTATCTTATCTATTATATATTGTTTAACTTTATATATCAAAATCAATGTTCAAAAAGTCCAAATAAAACTCGTGATCGTTACTTCCAATTTCATGGAAAATTTTGTTCGGTAACTTTGTATTTCTGCCATTTTGAAATATTATCTTTAGAATATTTAAAGAAGCGAAATTAATTACACTTACACAATTCGTTAAAAATTTATTACGAATTTTACGAAATATCTCCGAAACTATTTAATCCTTTTGCCCTCAAAAAGCGACAGTCTTTATTTATAATAGATTTCTTTATCTCCATTTGATAAAAGTATAGTAATAGTAATAAGTTCCTCAGCAGTTTATGTACTTTCGTAGGAAGTATAAACTAATATTACTTAAAATAGAGAGATTAAGATAAAATTAATATAATATAAGATCAGTATGGTTTTTTTTTTGCTGTGACAGCTGAAAGCAGACATAAAACTGAAATAATAAAAGAGCTTTGGTGACTGAAGAAAAACAAACGACCGCAAAGAGTTAACGTTACAAAACACGAGTTTTGATCTAAGAATTGAAGAAATATTCATGTTTCATAAGTACTGAACAAATTTCTTTTTGTCTATCGTCTCTTAACAAAATTATTTATCTGTTATCTCTTAACAAGATTAAATTTACATTTTTGTTTAACAACGATTGACGAATAATATTATATTTTCTTTTTTTCTTTTCTTTCATAGATCGTTATCGAAAAAAAATTAACTATGATATACAAAAGAAGTCTTCTTTTCATCATATTTTTCATTTGGAAAGGTAAATTTTTATCGTAAAATTATTATTAAATCGGTTGTATACTCTAAATTTATTTAATTTTAGCCAGAGCAAATGATTGCATACCACGAAAATTCAATTTCGATAGTATCGTGTGCGTTTGTAATTCGACTTACTGTGACTCGACACCAGATATCGGAGAACCCGAAAAAGGAAGCTTCCATGTATATGTTTCCAGTAAGGATGGTCTTAGATTGAATTATTTCAAAGGATATTTTCAACAAAATAATAATTATTCATATTCCGACTGGAGCAATTACATCAAAGTTATTAAAAATAGCATAGATGTTTCTAGAGATAAGAAATATCAAACTATACAAGGTTTTGGCGGATCATTTACTGATTCGGTAGGAATTAATTTGAAAAATTTGAGTAAACAAACCCAGGAGATGCTGCTGCAGTGAGTAATCAAGAAATTTCTTATTTTTATTTTAACAAATATATACAAAATACCCTAACGCAACCCTAACGAAAATAATTGAACAAAATTATCGTTGTTTATAAAACCAATGTTAATAATATGAATACTGGTATCCTGTTTAGATCATATTTCGGTCGAAATGGCAGCAGATATAATTTTGGTCGTCTACCAATCGGTGGTTCCGATTTTTCTGTAAGACAATATTCGTTGGATGATACAACAGAACCGGATAAATATCTCGAGCATTTTGAATTAGCCAAAGAAGATATGAATTTAAAAATACCATTTATCAAAAGAGCTGTAGAAATATCCCGTAATCTCAAATTAACTGCAGCCGTTTGGAGTCCACCGATTTGGATGAAAACTAATCACAAATTTAATGGCCCAAGTAAATATTATATTATTTATTAAGGTACATTCTTTTCTTTTCTTTTCTTTCGAGGAATCCTTTCGATAACGTTATCATATAATTTCAGGTGTACTTATAAAAAAATATTATCAAACGTATGCCAATTATTTGCTGAAATTTTTACAATCATATAAAAGTAACGGCATTGATATATGGGCTATTTCAACGGGAAATGAACCTTCCAGTTCATTTGTACCTACAATCCCAATACCTACTATGGGATGGACACCACTTAATTTAGGGGAATGGATAGCTAATTATCTAGGGCCAACTTTAGCTCGTTCGGAATTCAATAAAACGGCCATCTTAGCTTTAGATGATCAGAGATTTACTTTAATACGTTTTTTCGATTTACTTGCATCCAATAAAAAAGCACTGGATTATATTAGTGGCATAGCTTTACACTGGTATTGTGACGAATACTTTTCCACAACATTGTTAGATTCGACTCATTACAAGTATCCAAATAAATATCTTCTTATAACCGAAGCAAGTAACGGTAAATTGATTTTTTTAATAGATTTAAAATAAACTAAATTCCCCCCTCAAAATCTTTTATCATCATATTATTCTTTTATGTTTTAATTCTATTAGGTTTTAAAAAGAACGATGTTCCAAAAGTACAGCTTGGATCTTGGGAAAGAGCACACAAGTATATTTTGGACATAATAATGGTATTCTTTGAATTTTCTTTTTTATGAATTGAACTAATAGAAAATTTTGTTAACTGTTCTTTTTTATATTTCTTTACTTCCAATCAATTGTTTAGAATTGCAGACATTGGGTAAGAGGATGGATTGATTGGAATCTCGTCTTAGATAAAAATGGTGGTCCAAATGTTAATAAAAATTTTGTTGATGCAGCTGTCATAATAAATCCTGAAAATGATGAATTTTTCAAACAACCGATGTACTATGCGATTAAACATTTCAGTAGATTTGTAGAACGAGATTCTGTAAGGATTGATAGCACGACAACTAAAGATATCGAAACTATCGCTTTCGAAACTCCCTCGAAAATGATCGTAGTTATTTTGTACAATATGTATGTACATCTTAATATTCTCTATCAAAATTGCATCTCTTTTGCAATTCTTAATTTTATTATATTTTTTCTTTTTTCTTTTAGGAGCTCCGAGGATAAAAATGTCACAATTACAGATTCCAAAAACGGTGACATTATGATTGCAATACGTTCGTATTCAATTTACACTATAATATATAAATAAATAAATATTTCGCTGATCTGATATAACGATTACTAAATACATGAAGGGCATAGGATTAATTAAATTACATTGTATTGTAATATTTAGAAATTTATGTTTATACTACATAAAATAAAACTATTATATTAAAAGTTCTACTATAATATGCAATATTTATATGAAAAATCTTAAAGTAAAATATTATTTACATCTTAAGGCAAAAGAAAAAAGACAATACATTATTTCAACTTTATGGATAATGTGTCTGTTCGTAATTACCAAACTTCTTAGTTGGAATCGGTCTAAAACGTCTTGGTATCCATTTTAGTGCATGCTGATCCAATTTACGTCGTGTAACAGCAATTCCAAATTCGAACGGATGTCTCTTTTTCATAAGAGGACACGTTTTATTATCAATAACATAAATTTTTTGCCAATTGTATATCTCTGGTGCGTGTCTGTAAAAAAAAAGAAAAAAAGAAAAGATATGATTATACTTGATTGTACTATACGGTTTTTAATGTCTAAACTTCTACACCTATGCGTTAAAAAAGAAAATTAAAATAAATTATTACGTTGTATTATTAAATTCTAACTTTACCTATGACGTGGTCTATTTGTTACAAGATGTTTATAATATCTTTCCAACCAATCTCTTCGTACATCAGATTTGATGTCAGCTATTTTTTGAACATTATATCCTAAATACGGTTTCATGTTAATTTCTTTTTTCATCGGAGTATTAGCATAAAATTTAATTAAAGATTTAAGAACATCAGTGTTCAAGCCATGAACTTTTTCACCCTCAACTTTATCAAATAATTTAACAGAATCTGTAGCCCAACATATATTGCGTCTCGGATTTTCATCAGAATTCTCTGAATGCAGTAGAGTAGTATTAAGTTGATAAACATAGAATGACCAGTACTGGCCATTCGTTATAGCCATTTGATTGATTAATGGATAAGTAACATCATGAAATGTAGAAAAACCTATGAAATGAATAGAATTAAAATCAAGAAATAATTTAATAATAAACAATAAAATATTTTTAATAATATACCTTGATAACAGGCTTGTGATAATAACCAACTATACGAAGCAAAGATGGCTTGCGTAAGAAGAGCATCACTTTTATCATCACATACTCTTTCAGCTAAGTATCCACAATTATGGTAAGATAAAAGGCCAAATTCACATGGATCACCAGGCCAAAATCCTGGTATACTTGTAGCATGTTTATACTTAAGAACGTATCCTAGTGATCTGGGATCTAACTTGTACTGTGGAACAGTCAAAGAAGAATCTTCGCATTCGCTCAAAGACATGATTTCATTTAGAGGAAAATCATGTCGCAAGTGAAGAATAGATTTACCATAATACTGTACAGGAAGATTTATTGGATCATTCATACAGTGTTTATTCCAATTTCTTTTCCTTACATTCATTATTAATCCTGATGGATCTATTCCACCAACAAACCAAAATGCTTCAACACGAGGTTCAAAATCTGTTTGAGCTTCCAACAAATGCGGTCTAATGGTAACAATATTTGATTGTAATATTCTATTTATTTGATATACCACCGCGTTTGCTAAAACTTCTTCCATCTTTGCTTTACTTTCTAATTGGTCTTCCTTTAATTCGTGTTTCCTTCTGAAATGCGATAACAATTTTTATTAAAGTTAACTTGTCGCATATAAATTATACTACAAGATATATGATATATGATAGATATTATTTTACTAAAAATTAAATTAATTATTAAATAATTATACTCTTACATATATTATTATCATAAATGAATTTAAAATCTTATTTTGAATACTTACTGTCTACTAGAGTATTCAAATGCAATGATGTCTTCAATAGTACTTTTAATGTTATTCAGAATAGATTCAAGTTCTTCATCAGTCATGACATTATTATAAAAATCTGGTAGTCCACGTTCTTGAATAACATAAGTTCTTGTAATATATTGAGCGTGATCCAAAGAATTATAAGGTATTAAATGTTCATCCAAAAATAATGATTTCCAGCCGTAATAACGTGGCATATTGATTTTAAAGAGTTTTTCCTCAACAGTTCGAAGTTTTTTAATTTGATCATGCCATTCTGCCCACTTTCTCTTTTTTACAGATTTGTTAGACATATCCAATATTGGTGGATAAACCGGAGCAGTTGCAATTTGACTTTCATTAGATAAAGTTGTCGAATACTTCTTCGAACCATGTCTTAAAACAGACACGGTATTTTTTAACAGTCGTAAATGTAAACGAACAAACATTTTGTTTATAAATAAATTTATCAACCATAAATGAAAATTATATCAAATATATATGCATATACAAAATTATAACCTCAATGTTATTTTCATTATAAGTAATTAGTTTAACAACGCATTTAAATACTATTTTTCATAAATATAATGTTATCTTAAGTTTACAATAAACACTATATGTTATTGTTAAAGATAAACTGAATTTGATACATTTATCATTTAATTTTAGAACAAAATAGATTAAGGTATGATCACAGCATATGAAACGTGACTCTGTGATACGTTAAATACCTAGAAACAAAATTTCATTGCAACGATGCACAGATGCATCACAATTACATATAAATTACAAATAAAAATAGAAAATATTAGATATATTAAAATTATTTATGATACATATTTATTAAATACATTTACATATATTGTAAGTAAATTTAATATCTTATTGTTTTTTGTTTAAATCTTAAACAAATCAAATTTAGAAATAGGTTTGGACAAATATGAATTAGAATTTGTACTGTTGGCGACTCTGTCATTGGAATATTATGGATTCTTGGCGAGTACAGCTGGCTGTCAAAAGTTTTGAAAAATAGCGTGTTACTTGAAAAAAGAAAACTAAAAAATATTTCATCTAATAAATTAAATCAATACGATCAATCGGAAGATCGAATCATCATGTTAACTGCTGCAGCAAATACTTTATCAAACAATGGTGGATCATACAGTAGTGATAGGCCATCAAGTGCAGGAGATCCGGAACTTGCAGCAGATCCTGCATCTGGTGGATTTTTCCATTCAGATTATAAAAAGTAATTCAGATTGATTAATCTCTAATCGAATACTATATAATAATTATTTTATAATATTATATATACGTACGTATTTATATATGTATAAAAATTAGTATGAATAATTTTTTCAGACATGAAGATTTGAAGCAAATGTTAGATAGTAACAAAGATGGTTTAAAGTTAGAAGCTATGAAACGTATAATAGGGGTACTTAAATGATGTCTCAATTAATTATTAAACTTTATCGTAAAAAGAACTGATAAAATCATAAAGATGTATAAATTTGTAGATGGTGGCTAAAGGAAGAGACGCATCAGAACTTTTTCCAGCGGTAGTAAAAAATGTTGTATCGAAGAACATTGAAGTTAAAAAATTGGTATATGTATATTTAGTACGTTACGCAGAAGACCAACAAGATCTTGCACTGTTGTCGATATCTACATTCCAAAGAGCTTTGAAAGATCCCAATCAATTGATAAGAGCCAGCGCTTTAAGAGTTTTGTCTAGCATCAGAGTTTCTATGATTGTACCAATTGTGATGCTTGCCATTAAAGATTCTGCTAGTGATATGTCACCATATGTACGTAAAACAGCAGCGCATGCTATTCCTAAACTGTATTCTTTAGATCCTGAACAAAAAGAGGAATTGATTGGAGTTTTAGAAAAACTTTTGTCAGACAAGACAACTCTTGTTGTTGGTTCTGCGGTAATGGCTTTTGAAGAAGTCTGTCCGGAAAGAATAGACTTGATACATAAAAATTACAGAAAATTATGTAATCTATTAGTCGATGTTGATGAGTGGGGTCAAGTAGTTATAGTTAATATGCTCACAAGATATGCCAGAGCGCAGTTTATTAATCCTAATATAGATGTAAGTATAATATAGATGTAAGTCTTACTACGTAAGACAAAATAAGTTACAAAATGATTGATTTCTTATTACAAATCATTCTAAGAAATATAATTATTTTTAGAGCTTGGAAGAAGATGAAAATCGTCCATTTTACGATTCGGATTCGGATTCTTCTAATACAAAAAAACCTAAATTTTCTATAGATCCTGATCATCGTTTGTTATTACGAAATACAAAACCGCTTTTACAAAGTCGTAATGCTTCGGTTGTAATGGCGGTATCACAATTATATCATCATACAGCAGCACGTAGTGAAGTTATAATCGCGGCTAAAGCATTAATAAGATTATTGAGAGGTCATAGAGAAGTTCAAAGCATTGTACTACATTGCATTGCGAGCATGTCAATTACAAGAAAGGTAATGTAAGTATAATGTTAAAGTATACTGTACATTTTATAATATCTCATTTAAACTATTTAATTATGTATATATATAATCTAATCAATTATTATATAATACAGAATAAGTTATTAATTTAAGTATTATTTTATATAGGGCATGTTTGAACCCTTCTTAAAATCATTTTTTGTAAGGACTTCAGATCCCACGCATATAAAACTATTGAAATTAGATATATTAACAAATTTAGCTACTGAAACTAGTATTGGAGTAATATTGAGAGAATTCCAAACATATATTTCAAGTAGTGATAAAGAATTTGTTGGAGCTAGCATTCAAGCTATCGGTAGATGCGCCAGTAATATAAAAGAAGTTACAGATACATGTTTAGGTGGTCTAGTTTCTTTGTTAAGTAACAGAGATGGTAAGTTTCCATTAGTTTAAAATCATTAGTTTTTATATTTTTATATATAATATTTTTCTACATCTGCATTTCCTTTGTTTCCTTAGAGGCTGTTGTGGCAGAAAGTGTTGTTGTGATAAAAAAGTTATTGCAAACGCAACCAAATGAACACAAAGATATAATCGCTCAAATGGCTAAATTAATGGATTTTATAACAATACCGCAAGCAAGAGCGTCTATTTTATGGTTGTTAGGCGAATACTCAGATCGCGTACCAAAAATTGCACCTGATGTTTTAAGAAAAATGGCTAAAAATTTTATCAATGAACAAGACATCGTTAAGTTACAAACTCTTAATTTAGCTGTCAAATTGTATTTGAACAATCCGATACAAACTAAACCATTTTGTCAGTATGTCTTCCAACTTGCAAAATACGATCAAAATTATGACATCAGAGACCGTGCACGTTTCTTGAAACATTTTATTTTTTCGGAAGATAACGAAGCAAAAAAGAAACTTCCTGAATTTGCGAAAAGAATTTTCTTAGCTCCAAAACCAGCACCTACGTTAACCTCAAGATTCAAAGATTCCGAATTTCAATTAGGTACTTTGTCTCATTATCTGAATATGCCATGTGCAGGATATCGTCCATTGCCACCTTTCCCTGAAGTAGCACCAGATCCATCTGTTAGAAATGTAGAACCGATTAATGTGCAAGATACAAAAGAACAATATAAATATACTCGTAAGGAAAGAAAAGAAAAGAAACAAAAAGCTAAAGAGAAGCCTTTTTACAGCGATGAAGAAAGTACTGCTGATGAGGGTAAGTTGTAATTAATATTGTAAATTGTGTAACAAATAGAAAGAGTGAATAATTTTTAAAAGTAAAACGTTAAATCTTATTAACAGAAGAGGAAAATGAATCTTCTGAAACATCAGCAAGCGAGAGTTCTGATGAAGGAAGCGATTCCTCTGAATACTCAGTTGAAACAGATAAGTCTGAAAATAATGACAAAAAGAAAATAATAAAACAATCAGAAGAATCGGATAGTACGACAGATAGTGAGGAAGAGTCAGATTCGGAAGAAGACAGCAATTCTCAAGATAGCGAAGAAGAGGAAGAGGAAGAAGCTATTAAACCAGAACAAAAAGAAAAACCAAAAAGCAACTTAGATTTACTTTTAGATTTAGATGATGGTAAAATTATATACATATAAAAAAAAGACATCACTCGTGCATGAAGCTAAAAAAAAAAAAAATTAAACAAAATTTGTATATTACAGTTGTACCAATGACACCGATAATGACGCCAAGTTTAGGAGGATTTTTAACGCCTATTAATCCCATTGCCTCAGATGGCATCAGAGAAGTGTCTACCTCTTTTATACCTATTAAAAAATATGAAATGTTGAATAGTATTACAGGTCATGGTTTAAAAATGGAATACAGATTTACAAGATCACAACATTTAGTTAGCTCACATTTGATTAATATTGAATTAACATTTACGAACGAAGGAAATAAGCAAATTAAAGATATACAAATTGGAAATAAGGTGAAATATTTTTGTGAATTAGGCATGAATATGTTAATTTTATATATAATCAGAGTAGGGTAATATATATATATATATATACATATTATTTTATTATATATTATATATTTATTTTTTATGTTTTTCAGAATCTTCAAAAAGGAATGCAAATTCACGACTTTATGAAAATATCATTACTAGAAATAAACTCGACTTTATCTTCTACACTAGGTATTAATTTTAATGACTCTATGCAACCGGCAAATTTTAATATTGATTTTATAATCGACGAAGAGAAATATTCCTGTCCTGTGATTATCAAAGCTCCTATCGGAGAAATAATCAGATCGGTGTTGCTACCAGAAACAATGTTTAACAATGAAAAAGCTAAATTAAAAGGTATGAACGAAAACTCAGCAAAAATAACTTTTTCGGGGAATAGGAAACATCTGTCCGAAAAAATTTTCGAAACTGCAAACGTTGCAATGATATCAAGCGAAAATGAAATAATCAGGTAAATTATTTTTAAAAATCTTCACATTAAAAAAAAGAAAAGTATATTGTGTAAGTTGTATCATATGTTTTTTTTAAATTTTCAGATATGCTGCTCATACTTTAGCATCTAAATCATTGGTATTAATAACGATCAAAATCATTGATACAGAACATTTGGAAATATGTGTAAATTGTGAAAAAATGGTCATAGGTTCAATCTTATTAAATGAATTTAAGAGTAACTTAAAATGAATGAAATATTTCTTATATTCACACGCGATAGGAAGATTTATCGATAAAAAAAATATATCACATATTAATCAAATAATATAATCATTCAATTTATGTTACCATAAAATTATTAAACATATATATTATATAATATATAATATTATACGTAATGTATATATATATATATATATATTATATGGAGCAAGTAATTATTATGTTCAATTTATTTTATTTCAGATATATGTACAATAACAACATATTTTCCTTTAGAAAATATATTCATATTTTATTATAATTCTCAAAAAAGCTTTGCATTTTAAATAAAATCAAAATATTCTTCGTTAAAGTAATTTATCTTTTACTCCAAACCATATTAATTTTTGCGAATCATAAATATCCCAATCAGCTATTTCCCAAAATCGTAATCTATATTCCTTGCAATTTCTTAAAAATTTTTGTAATACTATAAAAAAAATAATCACAATTTAAATTTATTTACATAAAATGAAAATAAACAGAACATAGAAATATTGTTTTTACCTTTCAACATATTATCAGAAATTGGTTTAGAAAATCCAATATCCTCGTTTGGAAAACGTTTAATCATATCAAATAAAATTTCGGTACCAAATCCTTTATTTCTATATTTCGAACGAATATATGCCGTATCTAATACTGGCATCGTATATCTTTCATTTGTCGAATAAACTTCAGTTCCTAAAAATATAATTTATTTACAATTGTTAAAAAATTTAAAAATTAGAAATTAATTTTTAAAAAATTGAACTATTTAAAAATTAGAAATTAAATTAAATTTAAATTGAAAGAAATATTAAAATTATTATTTACCTTTAGGTTTAACGGTATAAAAACCGATAGGTATCCCATTTTCCCATCTAATTAAAACGATATCAAAATTATCAGCATAATCATATGGCGTCTCTAATTTTTCCGGTTTAGGAGTATCAAGTTCAATATAAATAATTCGACATAGTATATAATAAATTAATCTCTCTTGATTGGTCTTCACCTAAAAAGAAATCGTACTTTGTAGTAACTACGTTAATCAAATGTGTATCAATCACATGTATCGTACTACGTTAATCAAAAAATAATTTATAAACGTAACCTCGTTCCAATTATTTTCATATTTGTCTTGAAAACTATTATTTATATCTAAAATATTATCGTTCACTTTTATAGCTACAAATTGATTACATTTATTACAATCGAGTCGATATATCGTTCCATGTATATTGTATTGTTTTAAATCCAATTGAGTTTGAATTATTCTCGGTAATTCTGTTTTCTGCTCGTAATTAGTACACCTAAATAATAATTCATATATTATTTATAAATATATTCATTTTTTTAAGTAAGCAAAAAACAAATTCATTATTAATATCATGATTAATGAAAATGTACATGTTAGATAATTAAAATCCAACGATTTGTTAATTAATGGAATGAACAGTCGAAAAAACAATTATTAAACGATGTTACCTTGAGCATATCATTTTCTACGAAAATTTAAACAATTTGGTTACAATAAAACTAACGTAATGGTCATCATCCGGATGATTTGACAAAAAATAACAGGAACATCGATCAAAATAAACTTGTATGAACATAAGCGATACAATCTTAAACGATAATATAACTTTAGTAACTGATAAATATGATAACCAATGAAATCACGATTCTATTTTATAGATAAATCTAAACTAACTACCTAATGTTGGCAATTAAAAAATCTTTAAAATGGCGGCCTTTTTATTCCATTTCGAGTAACTTGTATTCTACGTAAAAATAAAATGACTACGTAAAAACAAAAAAGTACAATATAATATTTTACGAGAAAAAATAAACAATAATGAAATAGAAAACGTTTAAATAAATACTTCAATTTTCTTTGAAGAAACTCATTATGGTTTCTTAATGCATCGTGAAAGTATTTACACCGTACGCATACTAATTCGATTGAAAAGCTAATACTAATTAGAATGCTAAAGACTAACGCTAAATAGAAAACTCGAATAGTTTATGAAGTTTGATCAAAAATATTTCAATTAAAAATAATGAAGAAAAATGTATTCCTCTAATTAGTCAAAAAAAAAGTATACGCACAAAAAATGATTATTGCATCATATTGATAAGAAAATAATCAAATCATTTTTCGATCAGTATATTTATTACTGGACGAAAATATTTATTTGATATCATAAGCAGTTATTATGCAAAATGAACAGAATTCCAATAAATAGCGAGAAATTTCCCCCGCCGAGTGTTGTTATCTCAACAAACTCGTATAGAAGTTTCCACGTCATGATAATTTGTTTCATACATGCACATCTTTACATTTCTTCGTAATATGCTATATCTATAGTATATATATGTTATGTAGTATATATGGAATGTGCGCAGAAGTCCATACACTCGAAGATACCAAGCCGGCGTTTACGAACACACATATACACAAGTTACACCTCATTTTAAATATTAGTAGTATGAACGATTGTGAAAGCATCGACTTCTTAGTATAGTCCAATAACATCCTACTGTTCGGAGCTTATCAAGAATAATTAATTAAATTTTTCAAAATGCTGATTAAAGAATCATTACCGGTAGTAATTGGCGTAGTCCATCCAAATATCGGTGGATGGCTAGGTGCTTATTACGTACGAAAAAATCTAAATCCATGGTATGCGGTAAGTTGAAGAATTTTTTTCTTTCTTTTTTCTACTCTTATCGATCATTCTTCCCCAGTCACGTAATAGACGCTAAGCGATTGAAAAAGAAAATATAAAAAAAAAGAAATATAAAAAAAAAGAAAATAATTTGGACTATGATAATATTATGTCATTCCGGAAGGAAACACATAGATTTTGTAATTTGAAAATTATTGGCGGGAAATATTGAAATAAGACCCGCCTAGTTTTTGAACTTATTTGTTAATATTACTAACAATGCACTGTCGCGTGTTATTCATATGATTATAATTATTTTTGTTTTGTATTTTTTTGTGTGGGTTTATGTAGATGCATGCTTGTTGAGTTCATTGATAAATGATTTATTAAATTTTATAATATTGGGAGTGAAACTTAATTGTTTTGTAAACGTAATTCTTTTTCTATATAATGCAAATTTATATCTAAAATAATCTTTAACATCTATTTCAATTATCTTAGTCTTTGAAAAAACCATCTTGGACACCACCAAATTGGGTATTTGGGCCAGTATGGACAACTCTTTACAGTACAATAGGTTACTCTTCGTATTTAGTATGGCGAGATGCCGGAGGATTTAAAGAAGCAGCCTTACCACTTTCAATATATGGTGCTAATTTAGCTTTGAATTGGGCTTGGACACCTATCTTTTTTGGAGGACACAATATTAAATTGGTAATTTAGTTATCACCTGCATTAGTAATTCAGTAGTTTGGAATAATATTGTTTATCATCGGATAAATTTTATTTTTTTGAAATATTCGTTTTTAGGCTTTATATGAACTTCTACTAGTATGGGGTACATCAGCAGCAATGGCAGTAACCTTTTACCAAGTGAATCCACTAGCTGGATTATTAATTGTTCCCTACTTTGCATGGGGTACTCTTGCGACGGCATTAAATTATGTAATATATAGGGATAATCCACAAAAAGCATTAGAAGATAAGAAAGAATAAGAAAAACAAGAAAGAGATATTATTAAAATAAAAAATAATAATTTATAAAAAAGGATAAGAAATGTAGTAATATTGGCTTAAAGGACGCATATAGCATTCTATTTTTTTTACAGTTGTTATATCACTGCTCTTTAGTAAATATATGTGCCTTGCATTTAAACGCACAAATAATTGTTGTTAGTATACACATGTTTATTAATTGATATGAAATAAAGATTAGTTAATCAACCATACGTACATTATACAGTATATAGACATAATCCATTATTGGTATTGGTTGATAAATTATATATAAACTAATTTAGAAGGAATCACTTTCATAAATTTTGATCCGTTTAAGTCTACTCTATTCTGCATAAGTTTCTAACAATTTATACTATGTGTTTTAAAACTAAATCGCTTATATATTCATCTTTTCTAAACAATCTTAAAAGTAAGTTAATATTATTTTATACAGAATAGAGTAAACGATCTTACACAACAGAGGTATCAAATATAGTATTGGCCTGAGTGCAGAATAGCACACAGTTGATGATTTTCACGAACGTTACGTAGGGTCAGTTGCATAGATGTAACCTTGCTGCTGAAGTACGTATAATCTTTTTTCAACCGCATCTTTGTCTAAAGGAAAGAAAAGAAAGAACAAAATATGAAGGTAAGTCATTAAGAGAATGATATATATATTGTTTAATAGTTATGGTTATTTTAAACTTTCTACAAATACCAAAAAACACTTACATTTAATAAGTAATGCTTTGTCTTGACTGTGACTGATGTGTTGTGATAATGAATGTAACAATATTTGCGCCGTATGATAACGCTGAAAACACTCAGCAGGATTTCCAAATAATTCATCGAGTGCTGCAGACTGACACTAAAAGGAAGAAAATAAAAATTGATAATTAATTATTACAATGATGATGCTATTATAGAATAATTTAATGCATTAACTTTTATTACCATTTGTATTGCATGATTATATAGAATTTTATCTGCCGTAGCTCCTGGTTGTCGAAGTAATCCTGCACTGTTAAGCTGTTTACATTCTGTCAGGCAAGATCTAAACTTTTCATTCATTGTACTGACAACTACAAAATTAAAAAGAAAAATATATTTATTAATAATATCTTATCTTTATATCCATTAATTCGTTAACTTATTTTTTTTTAATGAAATTTGTTACCTTCTTTTACACTTGCGGTAGGTTGCAATCTACCAGCTTTGAGTTGCTGAGTTGCAAGGCTTAGCCCGGAACTCAACCATTGAAGAGCTCTTACTAATAAAATAACTTGTTCTGCTCTTCTTCTTGTGGCTGCATTATTGGCTTGTTCAATACCACCTAAAGGTGCACCTAATGGTCCAGCTCTATTTCTAGCAACTTCGCATACACATTCACATAATGCTACAACAAAATTCAACTTTGCTAAGATCTCTGAATGTTCTCGTTCCAAAAGCGTTTCTTCTGGGAGTTCTGGGGCTATAAATGTCAATGGACGATCTTCTGTTAAAGTTGGATTAACATCCGGAAAAAGATTTTGAAAACTACCCGCTTCTGTAAATAGAAAAAAAGTTATAATAAGAATATAGTATAATAATAAAATAGTAATAATTAATTAAAAATAATAATAAACCTGATATTTCTGGAAGAGTAACAGCTCTTGTGCCAAAGGGAATAACAGGCGAATGCCTAAGTGTGTTATTGTTATCTTGAAAAGCTTTTGAAGTAGGGGACCCTAAAACTGCCAATGGACCTGAAAGCAACGGTGAAGATGCACTATTGTTTCCCGTTGATCTGCGTAATGGCGATGTTCCACTGTGTGAATGTCGTGCCACTGGACTAACTTGCCAAGTACTAGGAGGTGGTGGTGTTTCACTCAATCTAAAAATGATATGAATATGAAAAATATAATGATATATAGCAATAAATATCATGAATATTATTCCCATACCTTCTACCAGGTGGTGTACCTATTACAAATTGCACACTAGGCGGACTAAGAGAGCCAATATCAAGAGCATGACTTCTGTGAGAATCAACACTTCGCTTCATACTAATCGGCTGAGAGCGAGGAACGACGCTACTTCCAGATCTTACATTACCAGAAGGTGATGATGGATGTGCTGTGCTTCTTTGTGTGGGAACTGGGATTGGTTCAGATATGGGTAAAAAGCATGGACGTGGTGGACTAATTGCCTCTCTGGTATTTTGCTTCATGTACCTGTAACGATGATTACAACACCTATAACTAAATAGAGATATTTATCAAATACGCGTATTTGTTAAACAAAAACTATTTACTTGACTTGCGTGTTAGTATTATTGTCTGTATCACTACTAAGATCACTTGGCACAAGCACAAAGTCATCTTCTGGACTGGAACATGGACTATTTGGTTCCGGATCAGATCTTACAACAACTCCTGGTCCTTCCGGAACAGCTAATGTCGCAGGTGAAGCTGGTAATTCTGCAGGAACTGGACTGGGACTTTCCCTAGCTCCTTGCAGAAAAGGGTGACCAAAAAATTCATCGAAGGGCATTCGATCTCTCGCATTGCGTCTCAACAAACCCAATAACAAATCAGATAATACTAGTGAAGTTCCAGCAGGAATCCTACAATAATAATAGATCAACCCATTAGTTTTGTTTAATGAGTATACTTCATCTTTTCATTTTGGCGGAAAATTTTTAAAATTTTATATTAAAAATTCGGCCCATCATCATATTGGCATCTGTGAATAGAATATTGTTTTCCTCTGACATTTTTTTCTATCGTACAAAATGAGCAATATATTTAAGGTGGTCTAGTTAAGCGAAAGGTCCTGTATATATATAAAGTAGATCCATAAAATTTAAAAAATAATTTTAAAAGACATACTTTGGACCAAGATTAGCGTTTTTCTCATAAAACAATTTAAGGGCATGTGGAGTGTGAGCTTGAAATGGAGCCTTTCCAGTAAGACATTGAAACACTATTGTTCCAAGAGACCACAAATCTGCTTTCGCATCGTATTGAAGTGACATGATTACTTCAGGTGCCATATACATTGGTGAACCACACAATGTAGCAGCCATTACTCCGTCTTGTAAAAAGCGTGCGAAACCAAAATCCGCTATAATATACAATTGGACATATGGTCATTTTATTACATAACATTTAATATATATTATTCATATGCATCTTACCTATTTTTAACGTTATTTGATGTGGTTGTGGACATGCTTTGCCACAGTTATGACTGAGTAAAATATTTTGTGGTTTAAGATCTCTATGAACAATACCTTTGGCATGTAACGCTCTCATTGCACCTGCTAATTGTTTGAGAAATACTCTAATAGTATCCTCTGACAAAGTTCCTTTTGCTATCGAACAAAATAAAAATATATAAATGATATTACTTCTTAATAGAATGATAAGTATAATAATATATACCTCCTAAGTAATCAGCTAAATCTCCACCATTACAATACTCCATAACCAGGAAGACATTATGATTAGATTCCTGAAATGATGAAATAACATTGTTAAACTCTAAGAAGAAAAGCTTATTCGACTAAAACTTAATTAAAAATATCCCTACCTTACAATCTAGCAAAGCAACTACATTCTCATGATGTAGTTCCGTTAACTCCTACAAAACAAAACAAAACAAATAATAAATAAATGCTAAATTTTCTTTCATTCTTTATATAAACCTATAACAACATACCTTCAAAATCTTAATCTCCTTGCCAAGAAGGTTTTGCGATTTGGCTAAACTCTTCTTGGTTATACTTTTGATCGCCACTACGTAATTAGGTTTCTACAAACGTAACAAGTATATCACTATAATGCATTAGGTTTAACAAAATGTCGAATATACGTCACGACAACTGGTTACCACGTGTGGCAAGGTAAGAAAAATAAGAAGCCAAACTAGAAGAAAAATAATTACTTTACGTATTCTGCCTCGATAAACGACGGCAAAAGCACCGTGACCTATCAGGTCCTTGGTGTTATACTCGTAGTCACCGATGACCTCCATTTCAAGGAAATAATTATTTCCAGTTTCGTATCAGTAACATAAGAAGGAAAAAGTACAAATAAATAGAGTGGGGGATGGGAGCGGATAACTAATTCACCGATCTTTTGCGGACAAGGTCAATAGTTTACAAACACGTTCAGATTGACACATGAAAAGATGCATCGTTCGTGGTAATGGGATCGATATGAGCGTGAAGGAATCTTTTGCCTTGTTGTGTCGTTCATAAATTTTCATATCCTTGTTTTCCCTTCCCTCACGAATGTATCAATTTACCTCCTTAATATCGTAATCGTATCCAATTAACTTTACAAATCATCAATAGAAAACTTTTCGCACTGTTCACTGTTCATACTGCAAGAGGGAAGGGGGGGGGGCACATTCAAAAACACCAAACAATGAGAATCATGAACAGAGTGGCTTCTCTGAAAAATGTCAGACACATAAAACTATTCGTTCAGCAATGCATTTACTACAGAGGTCACTTTGTAACACTTTCAGGGACGTACCACGTTTGACCATTCATTTTTTCTCCTTTCTTGTTTCTGTTCTTTTTAGGTAAATTTTTTTATACTTATATTTTTTTTCTACAAATTTCATAAAAAAATTTAATTTAGAACATTCTTGCATCGATTATTAATGATCTTTTATTTTTCGGTTCGAAATTTTCTAGTAGTATGAATTATTTATTCCTAATAAAATTTTTCTTCCTTAATATTTAATATTATATTTAATGATATTTTAAAAATTATTTTATATTTTTTTATATAGTAATATATGGTCAATCTCTCGACGAAGAAAAAAATTAATATTTTTGTTAGAACGCGCGCGCGCACGTAAAAATTAATTTCGATCAGCTGTGAACCATAGATATCATTTCCAGTTCGTGTTGTATACACACGCTATGAAAAAATAATTTTACTGTAAATTTGCACGCGTTTCATTAAGAAAACATTTTAAACGTGTTTTTAATAAACATTCATTCACTTATAAAAAACAAACATATTCGAATGAAACATAAATTGTTAAAAATCATAACCTATAGTATTAACTCGCCAACTAACCTTTTTTCTTTGTAGTACGAGCACGTATAATTCATTCTTTGTTATTCATTCTTTTTTCTTTTAAATATTGCAAGGACTTTACTTTTTTATATTTAAAAACATTAAATACCAAATGAAAAAATAAATGATTTATATATTTCATAGTTTGATTGATATTGTTACAAGTATTGTAACATATTACATATTATTCTCAAAGAATTTATAATTTTGTGAATTTTATTTACAGTCAAGATATAAAGAAAAAACACAAATTACCATTCATATTTATTTATTATTTTACAAAAGACAAATTATTGTTCTTACAAGATGGAAGTGTAAGTAGTAATATTGTTATTAACATTATATTTATATGTATATGTGTATCGCGGGTAAAAAATGAAATTGTTAATGATTATTTACAGACTAAACGCTAGTTCAGCCCTTTTAAGTAATTACGAAGTTTTTGATATGCTTCAAAGTATGAAATCGAATAAAAAACAAAAAATGACTCAAAATCAATTGGCAACTATTACTTATCAAACAATAAGATATTTGGAAGAAACCCCCTGTAAGAAACAAACTCCTGAGAAAATCAGAAAGTATTTAGAAGCTATGAAGCCTTTTAATCTAACTAAATCAGAAAAGTTGACTTTGTTAAACATTTGTCCTAAAACGGCTCTCGAAATTCAATTGGTATTACTTTTTTCATTTTTCTTATGATTTAAAATACGCGCGCGCGATGAAAAAATAAATAATTAACGAAATAATCAATATAATAATTTTGTAGATTATAGAAGACAGCGAAGAACGTTTAAGCACTGAAGAAGTAGAATCATTATTGGAAATAATTCAAAATTGTTTCGAAGAACCGTTAGATGAGCAAGAAGAAGAAGAGGGATGCTAGAAAATTATGGAATTTCTAAAAATAGTAAGCAAAATTTTTGTTATTATTTATATACATTTTATTTTTAATAAACATCAATGTAAATAGCATATTAAATATGTATTTGTGCGAATCACAAATTTAATCAATCCATTATCTTTTTTGATCACCTAAATCATCTATAGAGTCTTCATCAATCTAAAAGTAAATAAAAACATATATATATATAAAGTTGATTTTATAAAAATATATATAATATATACCTGGGGCCATTTTTCTGGAATCACTTCAAATAAATCATCTTTGACATCACCCTGTATAACAATTTCATCGTCACCTGTTACACTAGATCCACAAGCAAATTTACTGCCAAAGAATTTAGCGGCAACCTTCAAATCTATATCTGTAAGATGATAATGTATTGATAAAGAAATAATTACAAATTAATATCTATTGTACGATAAGGGTTAACATGACTGACCGAATGAATTAACTAAAATATATCTTCCACAACCTAAATTTATTGTAGAAATATCATATACATTTATAGAAGCTAATAATACAAATTCATAAGTAATTAGTTTTAAGATACAACAAAATAGATTCCACATATGATACTTACCAAATGTACTAAGGCCAGTGACAACGGTTACAGATTTTTTCTTTCCTCGTGGAGCTCTTGATACGGTAACTAATTTAGGAACGTCTTCTTTTTTCTTTGTTTTCAGCATACCTTTACCACCACGTTTCTGTCTTTTCTTCTCATCTTCTCCTCCACCAGTTTCCGTACTTCCATCTTCTACTATTCGCATACAAATTGCAAAACTATTATATGTAATATACTATAGTAGTTTTGTTAAACTGGATAAATATGTTTTATATGAGTAGATTGTTACTGTATGAGTTGTATACGATAATTTTATTAATCGTTCGTCGAATAATTTACCTAGTTTAACCTTTTCAAATTCAGTTGGCAAATTTCTTTCCAACCAGAGTTTGCATTTTTCATATTCTGGGTAATATTCACAATACTGTCAAAAAGAAAAACATTATTTCACAGCAAGGGTACAGGGTAATTATTAAATGTAAAAGACATTTGAGAAAAAAAGGAAATTATCTAACATTGACAGTTCATTGACAATTCATCGTCTTACCTCGATAGGAAGAGTACAATTTCCGCAATATTGTACTTGAATCGGATAATTACCGTTAGGATTAGGTCCTAATCGTAAATTTGGTACTTCAATTGCCGACATATTTCTACGAATTAAATAGTAAATATCGCAATTAAAATCTACTACGTAGTTCACCGAGAATAATCGATAAACCTATGAAATATAAAATCGTTTATTGACGTTAACAAAAAAAAGTAGAGTAAACGATGACGATTTGATTTGAAATTTGTGTCGCAAAGTAATTACAAATCGCGGCAAGGTTAGAACGTTAGTCCTATGCGGATGATCGTAAATTCTTATCTTCGATACGTAATACAAATGTTCACACGCGCTTTAGCCGACCAATAAGAAGCGAGTATTCGAAGTTGATCCAATGAAAAAGCAAAGTTGGGTGGGGCGTAACCGTATCAATAAGCCAATAAGGAAGTAGTCGAAGTTCGACGTATCAGTGATCGCGCGAGTCGCATTCGAGCGATCGAAGTGTCGCGTGCGTAAGGTTTGGTTCGATCAATTTGGTTGGTTAGACTTTGTACTCCGTTCGAAACACACGTGCGGTAGAGAAAAGCGGCTCGGTGCAGCGCGGAACCGAGTAGTGTGTCGCCCCGTGAAAAAGTTGGTCGTCGATCGTGCCCGTGTTCTCTTTTCTCTCTCTTTCTCTCTCTCTATTTATCTATCTTCTATCTATCTATCTATCAATCAATCAATCTATTTATCTGTCTTTCTGTAACATTTCGAAAATTAACAAAAAGAAAGAAAGAAAGAAAGAAATAAATAAAGAAAGAAAAAAGTAAGTGGCGCGATCTCACAACCGAGTGATTATCCGTGAGAATTTATCAATCGATTGGTGTTACGTTTGAAATCGTTTGAAATTGAAATTAACTCGAACGTGAATTTATTATCGACGAGGAATGGCACTGGGCGCTCAGATCGAGGCATCCGGGGAAAACGGGAACGTGAAAATACCCTTGCTGAACGGCACCGAGGATCGAAACGAGACCGGTTAGTGAAACAAGGAATTATATTTTATCGAGATAAGATAGACATGTGCCGGTAGTATCTTACTATTTAACTATTCAACTTTTATTTCGAGGTTAAACCCGTTAGTCATCGTACACCTTTTCTGTAAAGGGCCTCGTTACGTAATATAACACGAATAGGGCGATCATTTGGAGTTGTTCGATTTATCACGAGTTTTCTGTCGACCTTTTGTAATATGTTTTTAACTAAACCGCATCTTTCTCTTTCTTTCTCTCTCCCTTTCTCTCTCTCTCTTTCTCTTTCTCTTTCTCTTTCTCTTCCTCATTCTATCCTTCTTGCCGGGTCCTAGAGTTAAGTTATATAATCTCTCAAATTGCGCGAATCTCGCTCGTTCTGGAGTCATGTGAGCACCGTGTAGAAAGAAAGAGAAGGAGAATAAGAGAATGATAGAGAGAGAGAGAGAGAGAGAGAGAGAGAAAGAAAGAAAGAGAGAGAAAAAGAGAGAAAGAAAGAGAAGGAATCTAGCAGAAGACGTACTGAAACGCTACCTAGCAGACGAATTTACGCTTACTTAGTTTTTTTCCTTCTATTCTATCATTATATTTTTGAACATTAAAAAACACTTTCTTTTTCACATTTACTATTTCTGTTTTACTCTTATGTACGTATATATATATATGTCTATAGGTAAATATAGAATATCTATCATAGTTGAAAACGATCTAATTTTCAACGTAAGACGAATTCTTCTATGCGCCACATCTACGCATCTCTTCGCGAGTCTCTTCGAATCGATGCACTCTTATTAAGATATTCAACTACTTTACTTGAGATAATAATTAAATCTTCAATGAAAATATTTTAATGTAACATTCATATTGTGGTATTTTCGATAACACCGCGACATGTTCGATTAACAACGATCACATATTAATATTATTACGAATTTTGTATTCGTACAAAAGATTAAATTCTTTTTCAGATTATTATTAAGATAAATGTCTTCCTTTATATAAATAATATAAGAAAAGAGATAACAATAATAATTCAATGAAATTATCTCTGGTATTATTATTACTCGTCCATTTTTATTCCCCGCGAAAAATTGTTTAACCGCGCTTTCGTTTAAATTTCAAACAGTTACCGATACGATAAAATATCGATAGTCTTTTTGATAGTTGGGTTAGTCGAGTGATTCGATTTGTAGTACTACCGATTCATCGAATGAGGGGATTCTTTTATGCTGACCCTTCACCTTTTAACGCTCAAAGCTTGGAAGGAAATACTCGTCGTTGACGATAGTCGTGTCGACTCCTAGCAGAGTTAACTTATAGAGTTCGTTTTTGTGATGGTAATAGCGCAGAGAATATAACGGCCATTGGTAAAGCCTTGGTAAAGAGACACGCGTATATTTTAACTTTGGAAAAGTTTAACTTTAGGTGTAGAAATTAAATATTAATGCGCCATAAATAAATGTTAAATTTTTGTTTTTTAAATGGCACCGAATAAATTTCTACGTTTGCTACTTCTTTATTTGCAACAAATATTTAAAAAAAAAAAAATACAATAAGAAAAAAAAAAGAAAATCTAATGAAATATATGTTAATACGTAAAAAAAAATTTTAAATGCTTGCTTTGTTCCATTTTTTAGATCATAATTCATTGTACAATAAAATATGTTTTTTGTTTTTCTTTATTAAATGGCCATTATTACTAAAAATTTTTTTAATTTCGCTATCCGTTAATCGTCGAGGTTATACTTTTTGCGACCGCAACTGGTTATTTAAATAGTTTATCGTTTAATACATGACAGAGAGATTTTCAAGCGTATAAATTACATTACGCAATTGAGGAGTTATCAAATCTAATAAGATTATAAAAGCAACGCACATTACTCATTTTCCTTGAACGTAACGTGCAACCAAGGAGATATATATATACATGTATATATTCTCGTGCATTTCTTTCTTTTTCTTTTTTTTTTTTTTTTATTCTTTCATATTTCTTTTCTCTTAGAAAATACATATTTAGTTTCTTCCGTTAGAAGAAAAAAAGAGCAGACAGGAAAGAGACACCCATGCGAGTTAACGAACTACACATACACTGTTGCTTTGAAAGATGGAACTACTACGTCAGTCAAATGCTATAAGCGAAAATTCATGTTTCTTTCTGTTTGATTTTATTTTGTGTGCGTGAGCGTATGTGTATTTCTTTTATTATCCTTTCGCAATTGGAATTTTATCTTAATTACGTACACGTGTTATACGCCCAAATTATACATAAAATGTAAATAAGACAGTAAAATAACTGATTATTCGAACGGCAAAGAAAAAACATTTCCGCGTTTTGACCAATTTCAAAAAATTATTATTTTCCGCTTTCTATTAAAACTTGAAAATAAAATAAAAGACGGTTTTTTTTTTTTTTTTTTTTTTTTTTTTAAGAAATATAAGGAAAAGATATGAAATACAATACGTCAATGCGAATAAATTTTTCTTCCTTTCATATGTTTCAAAAATACAATGGCGAATGATTGAAAAAAAAATATATTGATAAGGAGAGGTTATCGGCTTGTCTTCTCCATTGAGCCATTAAAACAACGATTGTACTGTTTTCCCTCCGATATCTTCAATAATGTTTCTTTACCTTTCATCGTTTTACAAGCCCTTCTAATTCATTTTTATTTCTTTTTTCTTTATCTTTTTGAAACAATCAATTTTGGTACAAAGCATGATGCAATAATGCTTAACATTTCGAATTGGTCACAGATGTCTCTTATTTCGTCAAATGTTTTAGATTAAATCCAAATAAATTCGATTGTTAATTATTAACTAGAAAATTAAAAAAAAAAAAGTTGAATAATATAGCAAATTGTAATTACGCAATATTGCATTTATGCAAGCGAAGAAAAACAAAACAATAATTTTTTAAATTGTACGAATGACTTTACCTTGCATAAATATACGTTTTTTAAATCTTTTTTTCTTGTTCTCTTCATTTCATTATATCCTATGATTTTATTTTTTCTCCTCTTGCTTATCTTTCTGCGATAAAGTCGAAATTATATCTATGAATAAAGATTTATTACTTGAGAAAATAACAGAAAAATTGTAATCGTAGATAAGATGATTTCCTTTAGCGATAAAGTTGAAGAATTTATTTTCTGTTGAATTTTTTGGTTTTCTGCTTTTTATATTTTTCAAAAGTTCCAGATACCTTTTGATGCGTTAGATATTCATAATAAATGTAAGATCGATGTCTGCTGTATATCTATACAGATAGATATATTGCAAACATGGGATCGGTAAAAATAGTACGACATTTGAGTGCGTACTATTTACATTGGTGTTTATTTATAAGCGCATTGGTAAATGCAAGTTGTGGTGGTACCAAGAACATCTACATAACGAAATAATCAAAATATTTAATGATAGTAAAATTTTGAAAATTAATGAAAGAACTATGACAGATAATGATTTCATCTTTTTATTATTTTTTTTTTTTCAGAAGTGAAGCAGAACGGCGAAGAAAGTGGTAGCACTAGTACGATTGCAGAAAATGTTGTAGAAAAGGGCGAGGTTGAAGCCACAAAGGAAGGGGAGAAAGAAAAGGATAAGAAGGAGGAAAAAGTTGATAAAGAACAAGACAAGGATAAAGAAAAAGATGCGGCAAACGAACAAGAAGTTGTTTACATCCAAGATATGGGATTTACTGTTAAAATCGTTAGCCCTGGCGCCGAGCCATTTGATATTCAGGTGTCTAGCATGGAATTGGTGCAGGTATAATGATTAAATAAACATAAAACAACAATCAAATTTATTTCCTATACAAAATCTTTCATATATTTTAATAATAACACTTGGATAAATTTTTAGGAAATTCATCAATTACTTATGGATCGCGAGGACACTTGTCATCGTACTTGTTTTTCCCTTCAACTCGATGGGAACACGCTGGACAATTTTGCCGAGTTGAAAAATATTGAGGGCTTAAAAGAAGGTTCTGTTATTAAGGTCGTAGAAGAACCTTACACGATGCGAGAAGCTCGTATACATGTCCGACATGTTCGAGACTTATTGAAATCTGTAGATCCTACGGACGCTTATAATGGCGTTGAATGTAGTAGTCTATCGTTCCTAAACGTCGTTACCAATGGCGATATTCTTGAGAAAAAGAAAACGCGTGCGGATTCGGTCGATTGCACTCCACCGGATTACATTATACCTGGCTGTAAAGACAGGCCATTATTACCCTTGCAACCTCAAGCTAAAGAACAAAAATGTCCGCCGTGCCTAAAAGTGAGAATCATTTTTTAATATTATAAAATTTTATTGTAAATCAATAACATTATTATTAAATACAATGTATTATCATTTACAGGTGTTAACTACGTCCGGATGGAATCCACCCCCAGGTCACAGAAAATTACATGGTGATCTTCTATATTTACATGTTATAACTCTGGAAGACAAGCAGTATTATTTAACGGCCTGCGCTAGGGGTTTCTTTGTTAATCAATCAACAAAGGAGGTATTTAATCCAAAACCAGCAACGCCGAGTCATTTGTGCCATAGCTTGATCGAGTTGTTAAACCAATTGAGTCCAGCTTTTAAGCGAGGCTTCGCTGCCATGCAAAGACGGAGAACCCAAAGACATCCTTTCGAAAGAGTTGCCACACCCTATCAACTTTATGCATGGAGTGCTCCACAAACTGAGCACACTATTGATGCTATACGTGCCGAAGATAGTAAGTTCTAAGCATAAATATGCAATAGCTTTTAGAGTAATAATTATGATAGATTAATTACATTTTTTATTGCTTTATTTTTTTTTTTTTAATACTCTTCCATTACTCTTTATAGCTTTCTCGTCTAAACTGGGTTACGAGGAACACATCCCAGGACAAACGCGAGATTGGAATGAAGAATTGCAAACTACCAGAGAATTGCCTCGTAAAAATTTACCCGAAAGATTGTTAAGAGAACGTGCCATTTTCAAGGTTTATTTTTGATTTGTTTAAATATATTTATTTTTTGAATATATTGTCGTAGTATTTGATGGTATTAAAGAAGTGTCTCTTCAGGTTCACAGTGATTTTGTCGCGGCAGCGACTCGAGGCGCGGTAGCCGTAATCGATGGCAACGTCATGGCCATAAATCCGGGCGAGGAAGCTAAGATGCAAATGTTTATTTGGAACAATATTTTTTTCTCTTTAGGCTTCGATGTACGAGATCATTACAAGGAACTTGGTGGAGATGCTGCCGCATTCGTTGCTCCTCGTAATGATTTGCAAGGCGTTAGAGTTTATGCTGCTGTTGATTTACTTGGACTCTATACTCTTGGCACTGTTGTTATAGATTATAGGTATATTTTTGGAAATTAGATATCTTATATAAAAAGAATTTTTCATTTTGAATCATTCTATTATTAATATTTGCAGAGGTTATCGTGTTACTGCTCAATCTATTATCCCAGGAATCTTAGAACGTGAACAAGAACAATCTGTTGTATATGGTTCTATAGATTTTGGGAAAACTGTTCTTACACATCCTAAATATATTGAATTGGTATGCGTGACTGATGATAAATCATAATAAATTTTACGCATATTTAATATCATTGTTCCATAATTAATATGTTTATTTTTACAGTTAAACAAAGCTGGACAGCAATTAAAAATATTGCCTCATAAAGTAATTAATGATACTGGAGAGGAAATTGAGCTTTGTAGTAGCGTAGAATGTAAGGGTATCATTGGAAATGATTCTCGGCATTATGTTCTAGATTTACTCAGGACTTTCCCACCCGATGTTAATTTCTTAAAACGTAAGTTAATACTTACAAGTTTTTAATTTCTTAAAACGTAAGTTATTAAACAATTATATATTGTCCAAATATTATTTTGTTTTTTAGTGGAAGGAGTTGAGTTAAGTAAAGAAGCAAGGGCATTAGGTTTTCCGATTGAACATAAACACAAATTGGCTTGTCTTCGTCAAGAATTAATCGATTCCTTTGTCGAAGCTAGATACGTTCAATTTATTAGACATGCTGCCATTCATCTTCAACAACTCACGTCTGCACGAAAATCGCAGAAGGAAAAAGAATCTTCTTCAAAGGTAATATAATTTTCTAATTTTAGGTGTAACCTTGTAAACTATTCAATATAACTTATTCAGAATGATCGGTCATTTTAGGAAAATAAAAAAGATGAAACAACTGTTGTCGCGGTCGATAGTAACAAAGAAGTTTCAACCCAATCTTTGATGGAGGCTGATGAAGCGAAAAAAATTGTTGAGAGCATTACTGATTCTATAACGGGAGGTGAAAAACAAGAACGTATGTTTAGTTACTATTTATCGATATTTTTAATGTTGCTCATATTTTATTCTTCACTTTTTGTTTGTTTTTTGAAATAGTTGAAGAAAGTACTAAGGAAATAGTTCGTAGAGCTGCAGCAGCTGTTGGAAGTTTACGAGATGCGGAATTTGATGTAAGATTTAACCCAGATGTTTTCTCACCTGGTGTACACCACCCAGATCCTAATGGGGCTACGTTGAAGAAACAAAAGCAATTGGTCAAGGATGCTGCAGATTTTCTATTAACTGTACAACTTCCAACTTTCGTGAGTTTATTTGTATATAATAGCAAAATTAAAGTTTCACATTCCCTACACGTTAGTTTATTACAAATTAATTTTTTATTCTAGATTCGAGAATGTTTAGATCATACAGCTGCTGCCATGGATGGTAGCACTTTGATAGAAGCTTTGCATGGTAGAGGTATTAACGTTCGTTATCTTGGAAAATTAGCGGTTATGTTAGCTGCTGTACCTCAGTTAAGATATCTCAATCGTATCGCTGTTTCCGAACTTATTTTACGATCGGCTAAACATATTTTTACATCTTATATGCAGGTGAACTGTCAAAATATTATTGATATCAAAAACAATGTTTTTGATCCACTAACATTATTTTATTTTTTTACATTTCAGGGTACAGAATTAATGAGTCTTTCGGCAGCTATTAGTCATTTTTTAAATTGTTTGCTATCTTCAGCACAAATCATACATCCTCAACAAAATCTTGAAGAAGTAAGTTACTATAAAACATTTACACGATAAAAATAAATTGTTCGGACGACAATAATTATTTATTTTCAGTTGCAAAGCAAAACGGCAAAAAGACGTAATAAAAGAAAGGGTAGAAATAATGGTCCTCAACAGTCGGAAGTAGAATGGGCATCGTTGACGCCTAAATCACTTTGGCAACAAATTAAAGCAGATCTGAAGGGTTATTATGATTGGGAAACACCAACTCCGGAATCATTGGATTCTACGATCGAACATTTTCATTTGCAAAAGATATCCTTGCTTCGTGGTTTTTGCATAAAAACGGGTATTCAAATCTTACTTCGCGAATATAATTTTGAAAACAGAAATAGAGCCACTTTCTTTGAGGAAGATATTTTGAATATTTTCCCTGTTGTTAAACATATCAATCCTAGAGTGAGTACACGAATTAAGTTGACAAATTATCACAAAATATTTAAAAATAAATGAATAAATAAATTGTTTAATATTTTTTTTTTTATAGGCTAGCGATGCTTACAATTTTTATACAACTGGACAAAGTAAAATTCAGCAAGGCTATTTGAAAGATGGATATGAATTAATTAGTGAAGCATTAAATTTGTTGAATAATGTTTATGGTGCTATGCATCCTGAAATTGCACAATGTCTTAGAATGCTTGCAAGATTGAATTATATAATGGGAGATCATGGAGAGGCGTTAGCAACTCAACAAAAAGCTGTGCTCATGTCGGAAAGAGTTAATGGTATAGATCATCCATACACTATCACGGAATATGTAAGTATTTGAAATTGAATGAATATCTTTCTATAACAGTATATTATTTAAGGATTGTTGGAAACTTATCTTTTATTTTTTTTTTACTAGATTCATCTAGCTTTATATTCTTTCGCAAATGGTCAAGTATCAGTGTCGTTACGACTATTGTATAGAGCACGTTATCTCGCATTATTAGTTTGTGGAGAAGATCATCCGGAAGTAGCTCTACTCGACGTAAGTGTAAAATTGAATATTTGTTAAGATAAAATATTAGAATATAATTAACACTTGATAATTATTTTATTTTATTTTTTCTTATGTACTCACAGAGCAACATTTCTTTAATATTACACGCTGTCGGGGAGTACGAATTATCGCTTAGATTTTTGGAACATGCGCTGGATTTAAATCTTCGTTATCATGGTCCGCGTTCATTAAAAGTAGCAGTGTCCTATCATCTCGTAGCAAGGACCCAATCATGTATGGGTGATTTCCGTGCGGCTCTAAATAATGAGAAAGAAACTTATGCAATTTACAAGCAACAATTGGGTGAAGATCATGAAAAGACAAAAGAAAGTAGTGACTGTCTCAGACACCTCACTCAACAAGCTGTAGTTTTGCAAAAGAAGATGAACGAAATTTACACGGGAAAATCTGGTGTTACTTTACCGCCTATTCAAGTTCAACCACCGAGTATGGGCTCAGTTCTCGACATGTTGAATGTGATCAATGGAATTCTTTTTGTACAAATCAGTCAACAAGATATTGAAAATTTCAAAGCGGAAATTGAAAAGCGACAGAAGGAACAATCGCCAGACAATGAAAACAAAGCGATCGAACCTGCTGAAAGTAAGAAAAACGATCAAGAAAATCGAAAAGTTGAACAACCAAAGTCCGAAGATAAAAAGTTAGAAGAGAATAAAACAGCAACGTTGGAACCAGTAATAACAGAAAGCTGAACATTTTATGCACATACACAGAGATAGAAAGAGTTAGTAGTACCATTTTCGAATCCTAGTCTCTCTCTCTGATCATGCCCGCGTTTAACCTTCGGATAGAAGGATAACGCTTATAAGAACACATATATACAATTGGGATTAAACTCGGAGTGGGGCGCAGTGTCTTTGTAATAGGATTGTCAAATAGTGCATTATATTTGTTTATAGTGCTATAATAATGTTGGAACTTTTGCAGTGCAGTGTTTTAAAGTCGTAATCAATAATGTGGGAAAGGAACGCATTTGGAAAAATAATACAAAAATGAGAGAACAAAGGAAAAATAAATGTTGCGGATTTTACTTATAATCCTTTAATGATATCATAATCACATATAATAAACGAATTGAATTGTTGTTTAAATGTAAATAACATTCAAAGAGATCTTGTTCTCTTATATAAAAAAAAAAAAGAAGAGAATTTATCGGTGTGGTTTGATAAATACCAAAAAAAGAAAATTTCAAACGCGTAATTGAGAAAATTCATTTTGATGGAAGAGGAAGATAAGAGTTTTCATAATAATTGCAAAACATTTTTCTAAGGCCTCGAATATTTATACTTTCATTATGGCAAAACTATATCGTAACATATACATATATACATACATACACATATACACATACATACATCATACCATATAAACATGTGTGCGCATACGACATGCAACCTATAAAAATGCGTCAGATTTGGATCATTTGTTGATTTATTTTATCAAACTTTTAATGTTATTTGCATATACGAGAAGAGATCTTAAGATGGCGCTTGTTTTATTTTTTTTTTTTTTTTAAATGGACTGTGAACGTTTATCGACACTTTATTACATTTAAGTACTTTGTTTTCTCTTTGTTTTTTTTATAGTTATAGATAGTATACGTTATTAGTAGCACATGTATTTGGAAAAGTGATCCTTTTGTGTCATAAAAATATACTTATATTGCTCATTATTCTTGTTACCAATGATAGAGAAATGTATAATGCCATTTTATGCTCATTAATCATGAAATGTTACTTTTTATAATTTAGATTTTCATTAAATTCGCTTTAAGGGGCTTCCTGATCGTTTTTTTTTTTTTATAAATCCATTTACTTACGAAAATATCGATCATTATAAATAATGCATTTGCCTTTTATTATGCATAGAATAAACAATAATGGGGGATCTAGCATAATGGCACACTTAAATACATTATTACATTTGTAATCATTTACACATACACGCAGATGCAACTCATTAGTCAAATTACTGCTAGAGTAGCATTAGTTTAATGTAATCATTAGTTATATCATAAGTAATACTAAGATATCAGTGATTAATACAAAGATGTTAATATTTTTTTGTTCTTCTGTATCACGTTGATCGAATATTTGACTCTTAAAAAAAAACAAATATATATACAAGTATCATATTTCAGCTTTGTTTTTAGAATCATTACGATTGAATCGGATTAGCTTCAAAAATATTAGAAAATATATCATTAAAAAAGAAACCAAAACAGACTGTTTTAAATGCAATATAAATAGTAAATATAAAAATAGCCTTTAGATGCATAAAGTGTTATGTTTATTATTAATAATAGTAAAAGAACTGAATGAGTGATTTATTATTGTAATCATACCATATGTCGTTTAAAAAAAAAAAAAGAACAGGTTTATACACTTCCCCCCTCCGCCCGCTACAAAACGTATAAAACTGATAAAACGGAAATTGTATGATAAAGAAACATTAGTCTATAAGTATTTGATTATAAATAAAGTTAAATACTTGATTTAGACATATTTTTTGTATGCGCTGATAAAATTATTGTGTGAAATACGTTGTCTCTCATTGTTATATATAAAAGTAAAAAATAATTTAAGACAAATTCGCTGCACTGTCCTCGGGTGCACCGTTCTCGACTGCATCGTTCTCGGTTGCACCGTTCTCGACTGCATCGTTCTCGGTTGCACCGTTCTCGACTGCATCGTTCTCGGTTGCACCGTTTTCGGTTGCACCGTTTTCGGATGCACCGTTCTCGGCTGGCAAAATATCAACTTTCTTTTCTTTTTCTTCTTCTCCATGTGCATTATTTAATTCACAGGAAGATTTTTTCTTTGCTTTTTTATATCTCTTGTTTCTATTCTTATTCCATTTACTAGAACAAAATTGTTCAAAATGTACTCGTACGTTTAATTTGTTTACCAAGTATTGCCTAAATCTTTCCAATGCATGTTTCCCACCAGTTCCACTTTCGAAAAATAAACAAATGTTGACATTATTTTCTTCAGGATATTTCTTATCCTTTAATAAATTAAGAAACAAAACAAAAACTAAATAGAGATCTTTATGATCGGATATTTCTGTATCTTTTTTAAAGACTAATTGCATATCTTCATCTTTTACGTCGGAAGGTTGTATTGTTCCAACTTCAGATTCTGTATTAGTTTGTTCTGTAACAACAGTACTTTCTAATTTGATTTTCTTGCAATCTTTATTAAGCCTTTCAGCTAAACGGCGTTTTCTGCGTGCATGGGACCATGTATCATTCCTTGCTGTAAGTTGACATACCCATTTGGTCGATTCCTTTCTTTTTACTTGATCCTTTTCTAGCTCTATTATGTTCATCTATTTAAAAAAAAGAAAAAAAGAGAGAAAATTAAGTACAATCGTGAAATTAAAATTAGTATAATATTATATTACCTGTAAATCGGCTATTATTTTTTTTAACTTCGCAACAATGTCGTCGATAAGCACATATTTATCTCCCATGGGAAATTGAATTTCTAAAGAATTGCGTTTCGTAAATATGTTTGGAATGTTGCTTTCTCTTACAACAGGTGCTTTTCTCAGATTGCATATGTCCATTGACAAAAAAGACCATGCTATACCCCACCTAAATAAGTAAATTTGGTAATACATTATTTCTTTAATAGAATTTAAATATAACATATTGTTTACCGTTTAGTGTATCCTTGACAAAATTCTGTCCATGTAAAATTTTTGATCCCATGTTTTCTTAAAAATTTGGGAAAGTAAAGGGAATTTTTTCTTTTTCCTAGCATAGTAGTATATATTTTAATCTTTTCGCCTATTTGTATACTTTCTTCAATCATTCTTGTTACAAATAATGTTTCACCTCCCTCAACACTGAGTTCCTCATTACTGCCAGTAGGAGCATTTCTTGGTGGGCGTTGTTTTATTACTTTATCCAAGTTACCTTGAGTCTCAAAGAACGGAGGATTACACATTGTAAAATGAAAATGTTCATTTTCATTTATCACTTCTTTAAAAATGTTTTCTTTATCCACTTTGATAACTAAATTAATGAAAATTTTTGTTAATATGTGTTTTTATACTTTATCCTTTACAACAATTAAAGGTGTACCTTTTATCAGATTTTCTAAAGTATTATTTTTCACATTCTCTATTGCTGACTCTATACTCGTTTCATTAATTTCTGTTCCAAACATAGAATACCCGTACATCTTTGCGAGCAACAAGGGATATATACAAACTGCTCCAGTTCCTATATGCAACATATTTCTATTAGTATCATTAAAAAATTTATTAATTGTAATTATATTTATTACTTATATTCTTTTACCGATATCAATCCCTTTAATATTTTTCATTTCTGTAAAAAAGGCATACGCCATCAAATCTTCAATCCATAAAACATAATTTAAACGCAAAGGTATAGTTGGTACTAACTTATTTGGTGGTATCTTTACAGTCAAATTAAAATCATGTTTTAACAATATTTTAGTAAGAATACGCAAAGTTTCTTCATTTTTAAAATCGATATGCACTTTTCCTCCGAGGTCCTAAAAAGAAAATATGTAAAACATATATGAATATAATTAATTAATTGCGATTATATCATTTTAATATTCTTTTCTTACCGTAGTTGCAACTTTGCGAAACTCTGGATACAATAGAGCAAGTTGTTTAAAATCAGGATTCTCTTTATATATATTTCTAGGATGCATAACTTTTTGCAATGACATTATAAATATTTACTATTTTAAGTAACACGCGTACAGTATCTTAATTCCTGATATAATACAAATGATTCATTTATACAAACACATACGCTGTGAATGCACAATGTTTTAGCTATAAGACAATATAATCCATTATAAAAATTGCTACTAATATTTAAAAAGAAAAAATTTTATCAACAAACGAATTATTATTATGTCATAAACGCCCTCTAATGATTACATGTCATACTAAAATGATGTATAATTTTATATTATGTATCTAGACAAGAATAAATCAATGATATTGAAGTAGTATCTACGTAAAAGTTGGTCAATGAAGATGCAAGTGTGCTTAATGTACGCGAAAACGTGCGTACCGCGTGATATTTAATTCCTGTAGCGTGTACAACCCCGTGGACGTTTTTATATAGATGCATATTGCTCTAATGCGCATGCGCGGGATTAAAGTACACCGCGCTTACCAGACTCTTCTTGACGCATGCAACCAATGAAGACAATAATAATCATGCTTTAGTTGATAAATTTAATCGAGACATGAAATATTATTTAACGTCATTACGGTGATTAGATCCAAAATATGTATTGCACGTTGGCAAGATGGTAATATTATTAAAATATTCGTTCTTTTAATATTCATTGTATAAATAAAGTTAATTGAACAAATTGATACATAAAAATATCGTATTAACAGTTTTTGTAGGATAGATGCAGTGAGAGCTTTGAGTATGGGCGAAGTGTCTACTGCACTTCGACCTTTCTATTTTACTGTTCATCCTGACCTTTTTGGACAATATCCCACACAAAGAGTAAGTTGAGAACAATAGATTCATTATTCTTTTTATGTCACTTATATCTTCAAACAATGAAGTATAACAAATTTTCTAAAATTTATATAACGCACTAATTTTAGATTGTACTGTGCATAATTCTATATAATATTTCTATAAGATCTCATTAATATTAAGTGAATTTTTCTTTTTAATTTAGACTGTAAATGAAAATTCTCTGAAACAATTAAGTTCAATCTTAGAAACTCTTCAACAACAAAGACCTATAAGACCTACAACATTGCCATTTTATTTACGTTCTAAGGATGAAAAAGATCTAAAAGCTGGCAAATTTACTTTAGTTAAAATAGAACTTAACGAAAAGGATTTAAAAAAAACTATTCGTTCTATTTTAAAGACATGTGATTTGCCAACGACGTTTGTGGATAAAATAAAAGAGAAACCGTCTAATACTCAATCTCCAAATTTGAAATATTGGCAGAGGAGAAATAGATCGGGAGAAACAATTGATTTTTCAGAATTGGAAGATGATCCTATTTACGCTTCAATCATAATGAAAAGGAAACTAAATATTGAGCCAGATACATTAAAGTAAGAAATTATTTATTAAAATCATTTAACATATTATAATACATTGTATCAAACATTAATTGAAAATTTTTAATTAGAGCATATCTTGAAAAACACATTAACGAAGTACACGTAAAGTTAGAAGCATGTAAATCGGTAAGAGAAGAGGTCAGAAAATTGGAGAAGGCGTTATGTTCGGATTTAGGTTTGAAAAATATAATGTGGGATTGTGGTTGGAATATTGCTCATTATAGAGGTTGTTTATTAGCTTTTCGAGCATTAGTGGAACATCATCCGGAACCAATGAAAATTTTGCAAGACAGGACATTGATATTTGCCAATGACACCGGAATAAATTTGGAAGGGAACGTGATGTTAAATTCTGGTGAAGTTAGACATAATTGGCTCGATGTAAGAATTGCTTTTTATATTGTATATATGTAATTTTTCATTATTACTTACATTATTATTATTTTTGTAGTTAATCAAAAATGTAAAGAAGTATGATACCATATTACAAAGATTGCCAGCTTTTGAAAAGGCAGTATCTACGGTTCTACTCGATATTAAAGTTGGAAGACGGTGCGTAATACATCACATTTATTGAGTGACGGTAAGGCTCAGGGTACTCTATATGTGCAGGAAATTCATGCCTAAAGTAATGGCTGGTCAATATGAACGTCAACTTCGACAACTTACAACAACACTGTCCGATTATCGAGGAAGGAGACATTATCCGAACGCTTGGCCAGCAAATTTGTCCGCTTATGAAATAGTAATAGAAGCGTTAGTAACTTAAATTAATAATATGATTATAAGTTTCTACAAAAAAAATCAAGCAATTAACATAGTAGTTATTTCTCATTTTTAGTGAAGCAGGTCCCTTAATGCTTTCTCCAACTGGACAATTTATCGTACCATCCTCTTGTCCAAGTTTTCTGTTAGTCAGTTTTATTACAGAGAATTTAACAGAAGCTACCAAGAGATTACATCATTACAACAAGTAAGAAGAACATATCATTCTTTCTTTCTATATTCAATGTAACAGTGAATTAATTATTTAAATTACAAGCATGTGTAATTATGTTGTAGCATAAAACACATTGAACGAGAACTTCATGAAACAGTTATTAAAGAATTAGGCTTGGTTACTTTTAATAAAGATGATAGCATTACACCAGATCTGATGATACAATGCTGCGAACGATTATTGACGCACAAAATAATATTAGCTCCTTTATTGGACGGAGTCATGCTTTGGGTGACTCATTATTACTCTATTATGAGCGATGGTGTATTATGTATACCATGGGATTGGAAACTTTAATTCAATGTAAAAAAGTAATAGAAAATAATGTCAATTTATATAAATGTATTTTTTAGCTGTACTGATTCAACTTTGTACTCAAATCTATAAATTACGCTTCATAGATTAAAAATATCTGTATATATATTGTAATTATTTAAGTAAGAATATGCGCGAATCTCTTTTTTTTAGTATATATAATTATTAATTGGGAATTTTCCATAATCTTTATGTTAAATTAATAGCAGAATATTAAAACTATACATTTTTATACTTAATAATTAATATCATTTTTAATACTCTACATATCTTTATATTGGTATCATTGTGTCGATAAGGTAGTCATTCTGCTTACTTATCGTAAGTATATGAGGGCGCCACAAGACTAGCGATACGTAACCTTAAATGTAAAAATTATTCAACATAACATGCTGTTCATAACTTGATCTATCAGTGTGAGTGAAGATTGTTCTGGAAATGTTTATTTTTTATTATCATTGATATATTTACGTAATGACAATGATGGAGAATTTAGAAAATATTAATCCAAAATTATATAAAAAAGTAGAGGATAGACAAATCACTGCTGCTGAGAAAGACGAAGATATCGTTGATGCATTTGATGAAAGAGAAGTTTTTGGTTATTATTATTATAATTTGATATATGTAAAAAGTTTATTGATAATTTAGTTTAATTGAGTTCTATTGTAGATATTATCAGAAATATCAATGATCCTGAACACCCCTTAACACTAGAAGAATTACATGTTGTTGAAGAAAATCTTATAGAGGTAAGGTAATAAACATACACTGTTTATATTTATTTTTCTGGAATAATTGTACGATCATAATTTTTTAGGTTAACGATGCAGAAAATACAGTTGATGTTAAATTTACTCCAACGATACCTCATTGTAGTATGGCAACTATAATTGGCCTCACCATAAGAGTACAATTATTAAGAGCCTTACCGCCTAGATTTAAAGTTTCCGTACAGATAACTCCTGGTACTCATGCATCAGAAGAATCACTTAATAAACAATTAGCGGATAAAGAACGAGTAGCTGCTGCACTTGAAAATTCACATATAGTTGAAGTTATTAATCAATGTGTTTCTGATATTAAATATTAACCCTTTCGCTACGGCAGTGTGCTCCGTCGGAGTGACGCCGCTGTACGGACCACCGTTCCGCCGGAGTAGCGGCACTGAACGGAGCACTGCGCCGAAAAATGTGAAATCGCGGGTCTCCGCACAACTAAAGAAAAACTAAGCTAATTGTGTTTCTTGGCCAAAAACTTGATATAATGGTAACTCTACGACGCTGAATCGAATGGTGCTAATTTTTTGCAATTAGATGGCGCATTTATGAGAAAAAGGGTAAAAAGGGTATAAAAGCCATATCTTAGAATCTACACATTTAATCGAAAAAAGTTTCAAACAAAAGTTGTAAAGAATTGAAAAATACATAAAAAATGTTCTAAGGTATATCTTCGTATTTGCAAAAATAAGCGACAAATATTGGTAAAATTGATTTTAAGAGTGGGAGACAAGCCCCGCCTCTTCTTTGGTCTTTACACGCAAGCGAGTTATTGTGCGTTGTCTTGGGGTCTCTCGGTCGTGAATGCGAGTGCGAGTGAGAAAAGAAATGGATATTTCTYCCTTTCTATTTGTTTAGGCGATAGCGAGTATTTTTGTTTGGGCCATCGATTTTGTTGAGAGTTCTATATTATATTGGGTTGCCAAGAAAGTACTTGCGGATTTTTTCCATAAAATAAAATGTTTTTTTTTAATAACGCTGTTTTTTTTTACTTGTAATGAACTTTCATCTATGATGTTTAGTCCATTTTGTTCGATGACCTTTTGCCATCTCTCTGACAACTTGAAAWTTCYAYGCTCSTAGAAAGTCTGATCTTTTTCGGCCAAAAACTGAAGTAAGTGCGATTTTACAGCGTCATCATCATTAAAAGTTTTACCACGGAGGGAGTTGTCCAGAGATCGAAATAAGTGGTAATCCGATKGTGCAAGATCAGGGCTATATGATGGGTGTAACATTAATATGGCTTTTTTACCCTTTTTCTCAAAGATCTCCTGATCCAATTGCAAAAAAATTAGCACCATTCGATTCAGCGTCATCGAGTTACTATTATATCAAGTTTTTGGCCAAGAAACACAATTAGCTCAGTTTTTCTTTAGTTGAGCGGAGTATCAGGCAGATGATGTCGTCTATAGGCGACGCTCGTACACACAGGACATCGCGCGGATGTCGCCTATAGGCGACGCTCGAAGCGAAAGGGTTAAAAATAATAGTACGTTGAAATTATATTTTTTGAAATATTAAATAAGTTAGCGTGAATCGAGAATGTATAAATAAATTAATACTTAGATTTTTAATAACTATTTATAAATAATACTCAAGTTTTTTCTAAATTTTTACAATTATTCCAACGAATGAATTACTTATTTATTTACTTTTAGTCATTATTTTAGGTTGTAATTTTTGCTTAGTTGGATCATATGAATATGTTTTAACTACAGGACCCCTTCCAGCTTTGTTAAATAGGATTGTATCTGCTTTGTCTCTGTCAGCAATCTGCTTTGCTATACTCATATTTTGCCAAGCTGATAAAAAATATAAAATATAGTTAAAATTAAATCTAAATAGATGAAATATTATTAATTGGTAAAACATTGCTCTTACATTCTTTAATTCCTTTAACTAATCCTTTCTTTGCAATTAAATCATTAGGTTTATGTCTTACCATTTCTGGCAAATTAAATACTTTTCTCATATATTTTGTTCTTAACAGAAAAGTTTGGAGTAAAGAATAGAAGTTAGACATTACCCAGTAAACTAATACAGCCTGCAATTAGATTCCAATTAAAAGGATTGTTATTTCCAAAATGATTAAGAAAGTATTTAATAAAATATATAATATTGGAAAGTACTTACAGAAGAAAATTGTGTTGCAAATGGTAGTGTTATTAATGGCATGCAACGCAAAAAATATCTCATTGCTCCCAGTGTCGCAGCTGCTGCTGTATCTGTTCCAACTTCAATGGTAATGGCAAACGTAATGGATGTTACTAAAGGTAATATGTAATAAGGATCTACTGCACACAAGTTTGTAAACCACCATAGACCACCAGTTTGAAAACTTTCGACTGGTAAGTCGGCCATTCTTCTTAAAGCCAAGACAAAACAAAGAAATAGAGGACCCTAGGAAATATTATAAAATAAAGTAAGTTTGTTTCATTTTCTAATTTATCTCATTGAAGAGAATAAATATTATTTCATATAAAATAGAACCTCCAGTATCCGATGATCTAATATTCGTATGTTCCATTGTTGAAATTATTATCTGAACATTGTTATAGATTTTCCTACTTATGTTATCTATTATCAGAACAAATAGTAGACGACGTAGTAGATCTCTTTTACAATATTATATCTTTTTTATTGCTCCAGTACAAAATTGATATTTAGCACATTTACAACTCGGATGTAATGGCAGTGAAAAGGAAACGCGTAGTACTAATTGTAAGTATTGAATTGAAAACAGGAATATTCTATAAACTAAAAAATGGTTAAAGAGCAGCGGAAATTGTTAGAATATAATTAATTTAATTTTACTTTAACAAGATTCTTTTAATTCGAGAATGATACTAGAGATACTATATTACTTTAGAATAACAATTTACAATGATCAACTATATTATACCTGTACTAACAAAGGACCCAAAGATTTCCAAGGACTCAATCCTTTATCTTTCATGTAGTTATATAATTCGCTTGAATATACTGCAGCTAAAAGAAAAATACAAAATTATTTCTATATTAGTTTCCAATCTAATTAACTAATTAATATTTCAGTTCGTACCATTATAGTGGTCACCACTCATTCTTGCCTCTGACAATTTTTCCTGTAATTTGGTAATTTTCGGATAATACAAACTCATGGTGGCTGCATATCTTTGTGATTTTATTACCAAAGGAAACATGCATGTTCTAACAATTAGAGTTCCTGAAAATATTATTTTTATATTTCAAAGAAATGAAGTATAGAAAAAGAGAGGAGGAGATTTGTTAATTTACCTAGAACTATTGTACCCCACCAAGGTAAATCCATATAAATGTGTATCCATTCCAATGAACTTTGAATAAGACCAATAGGACTGAATCCACCTAATCCTAAACTTTCAAATGCTACTTCGCCATTAGGATGTATTTTTTTAATAACTTCAACAACTTCTTTTACAGGAATAGGAGGTATATCTAAAATGAATGAATGAAAGTATGAAGGTGACTCAAGTTTTAAATAATTTATATAATATTCTACAAATTTTTGTTATACCTGGTATTTCAAATAATTCATTCTCTGTATTGTTAGTTGCATGATTCGTCCAATCAATTCGAATTAATTCTGGTTCTTTTTTCACGCTATTTACAACTGTCTCGTTTGTACTTGCATAACGTACAAAAAAGGCATTTAAAATGTGAGAATTAGAACGGTTCGAATCAAGAAGAAATACATTTTTCGAGGTCGTATGTCTAGTTCTTCGCGCAAGGTGAATTGATCTGCATGTAGTATTACTCTGTAAGAACAAAGTTAAATAACAAAATAATTATCATTCCTAACCTATAATATTAAAAAGAAAGTACAGATTTTACCTGTACAGTGTTTAACTTTAATAGCGATCTGCAGCAATTATTCACAGAGATTCGCAACATTTTGTTAGTTTATTTTATATTAACTCAATTAGTTATAGTTAAAAAAAGGAATAAGTTTCACGTAAAAAAATCTCATACTATTTCGTCCAATCAAATACAAATCATGTATTCATATTCCCATGTGTTATTAGCGGTAGCGTATTTGAGAACGTGATACGAAGTTTCGTCGTTAGATGGAGTTACCGGCTTATTTTTTATATCTTACCATTTTACCGAAAGAGGAGATTCTGATTTCATTTGTTAATTAACATTTGAATTAGTATAACCTTTCTTAACGCTATTCAGTATTCACGTATTTTATTTATAATTAATTTGTGTAATTTAAAAAAATACACAAATATACAGTGTAGTTTCAAGTTCATGAAATAAAGCTAATGAAAATTTACAAAGTTTTGTTTAAATAGAAACATCGAATGATGCACTGTCATGTAAAATGGACGTCCATTGTTGAAACTTGTTAAAGTGTTTCTACAAATTTGTCTGTTTAGTATATAATTTTTGGTTCTCAATCGAGAATTAAATATTCTACTCGATATGTTTTGTTATTGCATCAATTATTGGTAAGTAAAATCAATTTTATTAACACATTCTAGATTGGTAAGATAGTCCCAAGTCATTTCAAATTTTTTAGTCGAGTATAAGTAGGTAATGTAGTTTTACGTCATTTCAAAATCTTTATATAGCTGAATGTTAGTGACATAATTCTACAGCATTGAATATTACATTTTACTTGTTCATTTGTTAGTTCAATTTTACTTATTTGCTAAATGTTTATGAAACATTGTTAATAAAATTATTTTAAATATAAGAAATAAAATAATACGAGAGAAAAAGCATATGAAAACGAAATATCTCGTAACCCGTACGCAATGTGTTAAACAAGAATAATGTTTCAAAGATTTATAGGGGAAAAACAATCGATCGAAATTGATCGCGTTTACGCCATTGGTAGTAGTTGGGAATTGGGCGAAGAAGAGTCACGTGATCGAATCTACTGCAATGACATTCAGTTTGGGCTTTAGGACGTGGGTCATTAAGCGAGACCTACTATTAAAGTACCCTCTCGTACCTTCTTTTCTGCTTCTACAGTTTCTCTCTTCTATCCCGAACGCGTAACTCCCTCACTCTTTCTCACTCCCCTTATTCTCTCTTACTCTTTCTCCCTCCCTCTCTCTCTCTCTCTCTCTCTCTCTCTCTCTCTTACTCTCATTCTTTCTCTTTTACTCTTATTCGAGAAGCGGCGTTGTTGATTTAAGGTGATAATACCTGGCTGCAAGAGATTTTACAATGAAAAAGAAATAAAAGAAGAGTATAAAAAGGAAAATCAGAAGACGGGCCGCTTATAATTACAGATTCGCATTGTCCGAAAACCCTCCTCCTTTCCCTTTTCCTCCTTCTCCTCCAATTTCCCACCATCTCAGCCCTTTTAACCACTGTGCTTCGGTAACGCCTGTCAGTCAGTCGCTTCTTCTCTTTATTTATTTTTTTTTTTTAATTATTTCTTTCTCTTCCTCTTTCTCTTTCAGTCTTGCTCCTTTTCTGTCGTCTCGATATAATTCGATAACTGGACGCTTCTTTGGACCTGCGCTAACACACCAAGGAAAATAAATACCTTACCTCGAAACAGGCTCAACGTTAATCCTAAAAACGATTTAATGCTTTGTTACTTTTTTTATATCATTTATTCTTGATCTTGTTTGATCAGTTACAGTAATACGATTTCTTTTTTTCTACTCTTATTGTGTTAGACATATCACGCGTCGTTGATGAATATTATTATAGATACGTTGAAAATCATTCAATGGTTTTATTCATAGGCACATTGCAAATCATTGACCAAATGTTTCATACATAATATTTTGGAAATCATTGAATCTTTTTATTCATAGACACATATCATTGATTTTATTTACATCGTAAACGATGAATTAATAAAATCTGTCAAAGTGTTTTACGTTTCGTGAAAAAAAAAAAAAAAAAGAAAAAGAAAATTTAATGAATTTTTCTACGATAATATATCTGTTATTTATATTATTATTGTCGGTTGAATTCGAAATCTTATCTAAATCATGGGATACGATAGATCAGACAGAAATGATCGGAGTCGGAAGAGTTCGTTACGAATTTCTTCTCGTTTGACGCGTCTCACGAGGAATTTGAAATTGATCGAGCATCGATCGCAGAGAAACAGAGAACAAGAGAGAAAGAGAGAAAGATAGATATAAAGAGAAAGAGAGAGAGAGAGAGAGAGAGAGAGAGAAAGAAAGAGACTTTGCTTCCTGGACAAGGCTCCCCACTTTACGCGGCCGACAAGTCAGCTACGAAAAAGATAATGGGATCGACCTGCCCGTAAAGGAAGAAGGTAGTGAAGCTGTCATGGAAAAGGGACGACAACAGGTCAGTCCTTCTCTCGCGTCAATGCGTTATCGTCGTCCCTTTGATCGCGCCGATAAACCTTCAAGAAAAGATTTTCATCGTTCTCTTTTGAATCCTGATCGGGAAGACGGAAGAATCAACTTTAAACACATTATTGATTGATCAGGATTATATTTTTGTTTGTACAATACAAACAACTTATGCATTGTAATTATTTAAATAATATATTATACGATTTTATTATAATTTTGTTTGATGGTGGTTTCATTTCAATTTTGATATAATCCATTTTCCCAGATTTTGTATTATTTTGATTCCAATTATAGTAGCCATTATAAAATGTATTAGGTTTTTGCAATGTAATGACTGATTAGTAGTCGAGTTATGGGAGACATAAGAACAAGAGGAGATACTTGCTTGTTCTCTTTTTTTTTTTAAGTATCGTATTAGCAGATATAATCCTTCCTGTTAATGTATATATATATATATATATATCGAATGATCACAAAGATCATCTTTTTAGAAAATCTCAAAAGTACTCTCTTTCTTTCTCTCTTTCTCTCTCTCTTAAGGAATGAACGAACAATTCAATTCGAAGGGATGATCGAGAATTTATCGCGTGTTCCTCTTTCGGTTGTTTTCTTTTTCTAGCTCGTGCGACTTTCACAACCAACTAAGATATATTTGTGAATATTTAGGTGTTTAGAATATATATATATGTATGTGTGTGTATATGAATTCGGTGAATGGCCTATTCATCGTCGCCAGTGTCCAGCAACTTTGAAAAATCTTTTACGAAAGAGATGCGAACGCGTGAGATAGAAGAAATAAGAAAGAATGGGAGAGAGAGAGAGAGAGAGAGAGAGAGAGAGAGAAAGAAAGAGAGTGTGAGAGTGGAAATGATGGGGTGGGTAGGTGAAGGGAAGGAAGGAGGGGATAGGAGAGGGGACGACAAAAGACAGGAACACGGTAAAAGAGAGACATCTTTCTCTTAGGCCACTTTAAATGTCTTTATGAGTTTTGGCTGTTAACACGACCGTAGAAGCAGGTACGGCCTTTCTTTGGGAGAACTGCTTTTCTCGTATCTGTAGGATCTATCAGGTTGCTAGAGTTAGGATCCTGCATTCAAGAGACTCAGATAAAACCATCTTTGTGAGTTTAGAAGTGCGTACCAAATCCTACAACACCCTGTTTTCTCTGTCTTTCTTTAAAGATTTCTATCCATTCTACCGCTCGATTACCTACAATTCTTTGAGAAAATACTTTTAGAAAAAGAACATTAAGCTTACCTTGTAACCTCTTTTCTTCTTTTCTTTTCTCATTTTTTTTTATATCTCCTTTCGAATTTATATTTTATATAGTTCGATCGTTATTATAGATCAACTTCGTATACCGTATACAAGTAGGTATTTGTTTCTTTTTTCTTTTTTAAATTGTTTAGATACCAAACTTTTATGAAATTTTCATGAAAAATTTTGATTACACGGATATTTATTGAAAATATTTAGTATTTTTTGTTAGAACTAAGGTTTCAATTAATTCGATTGCAAATATTACTATATTCTCGCGCGTTGTAATTATTTATTTAATAAAATAATTAATGCGTTAACACAGAACAAAATATAATGTAATAAGAAATAATTTACCGTTAGATGGACATTTTTCGAAAGATTTATAAACCATCTAACATAAGAAATAGTTCTCGCATATATAGGTATACAAGTTTCGCGTTTCTTCCACTTGTTCTTCTTCTTATCCTTTCTTTTCTCGTTTATTTATTTCTTTCTTTCTTTCTTTCGCTCGCGTGTCGGTGTAATCGCAGGTGTACGGTGGAAAGGATAATCTAGAGGAGATACGCGCGGACTGACGGCACCACGTTGTGGGATCACGATGTGTAAAAGGAAATCGCTTTACTTTAGAGTAAATGCTCGGAGACCGGAGAGTCTTACGTGCGTGCCAACCGCTCGTGTGAACCGCGCGTGGTTTCCTTTCATTCAGCAGTTTCTTCATCGAGAATGTCGCACGATTGCTCCCTACGATTGCTCGTATGCAACCGATTATCTTTCCTCAAAGAGTCTCATCTCTGTGAACAAAAAATACTCACGGGAAACATAACCGTCTTACCATTAGATTTTTGTTTAACAATGAAAACGATCAAATGGGATCCTTCCGAGTTCTTGATAACGTATCAAATAGTACCGGACAACGAATACTACCCTTCAACCTTTTTTTTAGTCATTTTATATTTTAATTATTATTATACATGTTTCTTTCTATAGATTATTATTATTCATTGTAGTCGAATAATATACAAAATTTATCATTCGACAATAGACAATACCCACTTACTGTTGACACATTGAACCCTGGGTGCTCACATTACTTGTCTTACGAAAAGAAAAAAAAGCAGATTCTAACTTTAAAATTAATTTTTACGGAGTGATCGTTGATCTGATTATGCACATAACGTTATCCATGTTTTGTTAGAAATTAAACGAATTCAGAACAAATGGTAAACAATATGGCAAGTTTTTTTTTTATCCTCATCAATTTTATTATTCAAAGATACATGACACACACGTTAGAATATCATTCATTATAATAGAATAATTAATATTACATTAACTATATAAGATCTCGTGATCATGATTATTATTTTTTATCAATGAAATAATCATCATTTTTAGGTATAACATAATGAGTTGAAAATGTTTAACGATCCTTTAAGGATGATTATG